TTTGAACAAGGCTTGTCAATGTTCCGACTGCGCCCTGCCCTCAGAGAGATTCTGTGTTGTTAAAAAAAACGACTTGCGACATCTGGCCTAAGTTCGCAAGGGATGCCGGTGACTTAAGCGCGCCTTTTTGCATCACCACCATCCCCCCGACACGATGAGTGGGGGTTGTGGGGATCCCTCCTCTGAAGCTAAGTGGGTCAGCGCTTCTGTCTCTGGTGCGACTGCGTCAGGTGCTAGGTTCCCAAGGGCGATGGCACAGTCTGATGGCCAAGCTTAGTTTTTTTTTTTGGGTTTAGGGTTTAGGGTTCCCATCCCTGAAGGCGTGTGTAGGGAAGAGCACTGCTTGGACATCAAAAATGGAACATGTTCAATGACAGGGTGGACAAGGCTTGGCCAACCGTAGGCTGATCCTATACTCCACACAAGGGTTCCTAGTCCTTCGTTCATCCGCCACATTGCTCTGGAATGCTGGGGGCCCATGCCCCACCGGAGCAAGTCCGAAGACAGCACGGGAGTCTCGATTGGGGGCAGGCCCTCCTTAGTTGCTTCTTGCTGTTCCAAGGGGATTAAGGGTTGTTGTCTTTTTTTGCCAGGTTCAATTCTCACTGGTTGCCTGGACGCGAACACCGAATCGGGTTGTGATCCGGTGCTGTGGTCTTGCCAGGGTTAATACAAAGAAACAAGGTCTAATGATTGGGGAGTCCGTTCAGGGGGTGAGACTGAACTTGCTATCCCAACTCCATTGGTGCGCAACGTTGAACTTGTGCTGGGGCGCACAGAGTAAGCCCTCAACTCTGTGGAGCCACCTGCTCAGGTGTCGGCATCACACTGCTTTTCTACTTCAGCTGACGGGTCCATGAGTATAGAGTCGAGGCTTCCGACCAAACCCAGCAACATGGTATTTGACGATTTGCCCATCGTCAACACCAGCTGACAAAGCACGAGCGACTGATACTGCGCTCAAGTTGCTTGGGAAAATGCGGTGGAGCCAAGGCCCTGCGTGCACTGCCTACTGCACGGAAAACGGGTCGGTGAAACCTTGCTTCACAGTTGTAAGCAAAGATTCTGCCAAGAAAGTGTTGTCGAGATCGTGTGTTGGACTGAGGCCACGGGCCAGCGCACAAAATGCGTCTTCTGGCCATTGTGGCGTTGAGCAAACTGCTTAGAATCCGAACCCTAAGCCGTAAGGAGTATCCGCCCTACCCATGATCTCTGTCTCCATGTCGGATGCTTGCCGAACTTGGAAGACCTGTGCCTTTCTGTATGCAGAGAAGAATCGTCTTAAAGGCCGGTTCGTCACCCAGTGGCTGTGAGGAAGTCTCGTCTTGAAGATTGGTTCATTTTTCCGACATTTTCGGTCTTCCGCCATTTTAATCGTTTCCACATTTTTGGTTTAGGGCTTAGTTTCTTGCTGTTTAGAGGGGTTTGGGGTTCAGGCGTTTTCTCTTTGTTCCCCGCCCTAGCTGAACCGTTGGCCATGATGTACCGAATGATGACGGGTTACTTGAGTTTAGGGTTTAGGGTTCAGGGTTCAGGGTTTAGGCCAGACTGTAGGGAAACAACTTCCGGATGATTCAGACAGACTTCAAGTTTAAGGGTTTAGGGAAAGGGGCCAAGCCGTTGTAAAACGACTGGATGCCATGTAGGGTTCAGGGTTCCGGGAACTGCCCATCTTCCCCAAGGACGTTGATAAGGGAATCTTGAAGCATAAGCCCTGCACCCTAAACCGTAGGCGCGCCAGCTGGACACCACGTTATGAAGCCACCGGGCACCGCAAAATTGGCCGCCGCTGAAGAAGAAGGCAGAGCGGACTTCTCAAATGACATGCTGGCGGGGGCCGGATACGGAGTGTTAAGGGTTTAGGTTTTAAGGGTTTTAAGGTATAGGTGGTCGGGTTTACAGTTTGTGCAAGGGTTGGAGTCTGGGCCCAGAGTCGTTGAACGTCAAGATGCGGCGAAGTGCCCCCCATGCCAATGCCTGCGCGAATATGACAGGATGGGAAGCAGGAGAGCTGGCCTTGAAAGCTGTGGCGGCAACGAGAGGAATCATCAAAGAATGTCAGAACACAGCACGGAGCCCTACACGGTCATCTATACCGAGCTTCGCAGGAAATATCATGGCATCCATACACCGCGCTTCACCCCAGCTCTCAAGGCTTCTGCGTCTCAAGCGCCAGAGTTAAAGCAAGGAAGATCTCAGGCTCACCTTTTGCCCACGGGTTTACAGGTACGGCACTTAGGGGCCAGAAGAGGGTTTGGAGCTGTTTGCCGTGCGCTCAGGATGTGCAGAAATAGGCAAAGAAGTGCAGGTGAGCCCTGACCGAACACGCAAACTGCTTGCCACCCTGTACCCGACCCCTTGCAGACATGCCTTCTTTTGGGGGGTTTACGCAAATAAGGGGCCCCTAGTAGAGTCCCCCCACATAGTAGGATCCCAATACGGTACCCAGAATTTCGGAAACCCCCATATGTCACCATGTTGGTATGCCTATCCTCGGAGAGCTCTGGGAACTATTTCCCCAGGAGGTGAACACCAGAAGCCTACAACTCCCATGTGATGTTAGGCTTGGCAGAGTGGACATCCCTGGCAAATGACCGGTCTCAGCTGAGATTGTTATAGCTTCGAAGGAGGGAAATGCCCTGAAGCTATTGAAGCTATCGCGAAGCTCCCCCGGTTTCCCAGGCCTCTGATTCATGTCCCCCCAATGCTCCATTAGCCCGCCCCAAGCAAGCGCCACTGTTGATGTTCGAAGGACCACTTCTTTTGAAATAAGTTTGAAGCCTCAGCCCTACCGGAGTCTTTTTGGGCTAGCCTCAGCCTTCATCGACGTGGGGTGGGAGGAGATGGTAAGGGTTTAGGGTTTAGGGTTTAGGGTTTAGGGTTTAGGGTTTAGGGTTTAGGGTTTAGGGTTTAGGGTTTAGGGTTTAGGGTTTAGGGTTTAACATCTCCAATTGGTTCCAGTAGGGTTCTCAAACTCCAGATCCCCAACTTCTGCAATGTGCCGCAGTTCAACGGCTTGTCAGCGGTGACCATGGAGTGATCAGTACATGGAAAGCTATACTCCCCTAAGAACCTTGAGAAAAACAATCTTTTTGATATTAAACCCTAAACCCTAAACCCTAAACCCTAAACCCTAAACCCTAAACCCTAAACCCTAAACCCTAAACCCTAAACCCCTAAACCCCTAAACCCTAAACCTGGGTTTTAATGCAAATAAAAACTACAAGTATTTCCTAAGGGGGCTGTAGGAAGTCTGCAGGGCAAGTATGGCCAGAACCAAGAACGATCAGTCGGCAGTCCGCTGCAACCGCCTGACCGACTGGCTGTGTTCGGTCTCCCTTGCCAATGAAAAATTCTGGGGGCTTACGAAACTTGGGGGATGCCCTTCATGAACCCCCCCCCCAAAATAGTAGAAGGGTTTTTGGGTTTAGGGTTTAGGGAAAGGAACCCCCCAAAGAGGGTACCCCTATATTTTTTTCGGAAAGACCCCAGGATGCAGCAGAGGCCTCCAGCCTCCAACAAGTCCTGCAAATGCCCGTGCCTGTCGTGTCTGGGCGTCATAGACCCTTCAAACAAAGAGGCTCCCATTAACCATAAACCCTAAACCCTGTCTCGATGTCGGCAATACTTCTGAGGGGCCTACATCATGATTTCTCCGTGGCTGGTCAGGGCAAAACGTACAAAGTCCCGGGCTGGGGCATTTGTTAACGTGCTTTTTTTTCGCGTGTTCAGGCCAATAACCAGGTAAAGTTTGGGCTTGAGACGTGTGGACGATGCAGAGTCGTGGCCTCAAGCTTGGACTGGGGAAGGCGAAGGATTTGTAAGGGCTGAGGCTGGTATGTTCCCCCTTGTACTAACAGTCCTTAAGAGTGATTATAGTACCCCCTATTAAGGACTGTTAGTATAAGGGGCAACATCCCAAGGGCTTAGTGTTGTGGATAGTGTTGTCTGTTCCCACCAACCAGGAGCCGATCGAATGCAACAGGGACACTGGCTTACCAGGACCTTTGTGCTAAAGCAACTGAAGCAGCGTGTCGCATGCAGCGACAGACGAATTTCAAGGATTTCGTGCGCTGTGCGTCTGGCACAATAGCACTATTCTCTGACCTTTGCATTGTAGGTCGGGTGCACTCGCCATGTGCCAAGAACTGGCCTTGCTTTTGCATACCCTGACTGGTTTAGGGTTTAGGGCGTTAGGCTTTAGGGTTTAGGGTTTAGGGTTTTTGTGCCAGCGTTCAGACTCACGGCGCAAGAAGGGATTTCGCACCCGGCAAATTCGGCAGCTCCAAAACCTCCATCGATGATCTACCGAATCATAATCCGAAGCGATGCTTCTACTGCTCGGCTCTCGCCTGTACACTTAAGTGAGGTATGTGCTTGAGCTCACATGGTTTTCTCCCCCTCTCATGTTAGGCAGAAGCCACGGCCAAGAACTGGGAACTCGCCCAGAAGACTATAGATCTCCTTCCGCTTCCAGAGGGCTTGTGGACAATGCTTTCAAGATGCTTTAAGGCATGGCTTTCATGGTCCGGACGGTCCGAATTTTGATTCTCACGCCTGTCAGGGGCCAAGTCTGAGCTCAAAGCAGGAGAAATGGATAGCACTTGCTAGACACTGCGAAAGGCCCAAAAGGGCTTGATGGCAACCCATGCGTTATCCAACTCACAAGCGTTGTAGCTTCTTGATGGCAGTTTTACGCTGCTCGTCCTATACACTGTATTAAGGTCTTCTCACGATTTTCGAAACGATGCCCGGCGGTCCAGCGGGTAGGTCGGATGGCTTTTCAACATGAGGTGTAGATCATTAAAGTCTTCGTAGTGTTGTCAGAAGAAGACGTATGCAACACCTCTTCCTGATGTGTGCCAAATTGAGGTCTCGAACTTATCCGAAAGGGGCGTATCTTGAGGAGCATGCTCGCGAGTTAGATGCTGGATGCCGCAGACGGAGGGTCTGGGGATCTTCTCTCTTCACCCCACCCCTCCGCCCCCCAAATGGATCTCCTACCAGCTGCTGTGGCGCGCAGCGTTCACAAAACTCTTGCTGCAGGCTCGAAGGTCACGAAAGGTCATGATGTTCCACTGCCCTGAGAGGAGCTCAAGCACCTGATCGGTTTTAGGGTGCAGGTTTTGGGTTTTGGGTTTAGGGTTCAGGGGTTTATTTTTTAAGGTTTAGGGTTACGAGAATGGGGTCTGCTGTGAACCCTCAGCCTTAGTAAACGGTGGAATGTGGTGCAATTATCGGGCTTGGGCCTACAATGACCTGGTTCTTGACTCTTCTGGTCGTGTTTGCCCTCGGAAATGCTCCCTCATCCTCAATGAAACCCTTTAAACCCTAAACCCTAAACCCGTCCAAAAGTGCCTGACATGAGCGATATGCCAGGGCCGTGAACCCCTTGCCAAACCCTGATGTCAATGCTCAACATTGTAAAGCACAAGCATCCTCAAGGCAAGCCGACGCATGTTTTGGGACGTACTGTATTTGAATGGGAACAGATTCGCTGGTTAAGGTCGAAGTGTTAGAAGCACATCCTTTGGCAATCTCTGTCGGATGGGTCAGCTGCCCAAGAGGGTAGATGATCCTTTCCTTCGCTTCTTGGTAAGCTGCAGAGCTACTTGGAGGTTCATGGGTACTTATAAGTAGGGTTAGAGGTACCCTAAATCGGGTTCTAAGTAAAGTTGCCATACTTCTAACCCTGCCTATAACTACCCATGAACCTCCGAGTAGCTTTGGTGTTTTTGGTTTCTTTAGCCAGGCGACCAAGGAGTGAGAGCGAAACTGGTTGGCTGCAGCTGCCACGTCCGCTGCCGTGCGCCCAGTCGAAGTCCTCCATCCCAAGCCATCCCCCAGACAGTGCTTATATAGATGACCCGCGCAGCTCCTTCTAAACCCTGTATAAACCCTAAACCCTAAACCCTAACCCCTAACCCTAAACCCTAAAGCCTAACCCTAAACCCTAAACCCTAAACCCTAAACCCTAAACCCTACTCTCCGCACCCTGGTTACGCGGCCCAGATGGTTGATTTTTCAACTGGGAGGGAGCTGGAAGGACACCACTTGCTAATCGGCTGGTGTCACTTCAAGGAACCGCTCAGCCTACAATAGGAGGTCGAGTTTCCTTCACTTACTTCAACCTCTTTAAATATGCCTAGTGAACGCATTTTGAGACACAGAATGACACACACACATACACACACACACACACAATTCTGGGGATTTCTCGCTTGAAGTGCCTGCACATCCCGAGCCTTTCAGGGGTGGCCGCATCAAAGTCTTGGTGAACCAAGGGCTTTGGAGAGGGTTCTGGCGTTCTGAGTGCATCCACCGTTTCCCATTCATTTGCTGCTCCTCTTCTTGGGGTCGGCCCCTTCCCGGAGAAGGTCGCGGACCATCCGATGATCTCCTTCCACCGAATGCCCAGTGCTATGAAGGGGCTTGACCCTGAACCCTAAGCTTTGGGGAGGTGCCGTCACGACCCCAGGCAGCGTGGAAGGATCATCAGGTGCGAAAGCCAGGGCAGGATGGGAAAAGAAGGATTCGAGCATTTGGCTTGGAGGCATTTATAAGCCTTGGGGTGGAGACTTGTGCACACTCTCAGCGGCTGTTGGCCTCATGTCAGGTTGCAGAACCCCTAAACCGCAAGCCGTTGAGGCACCCATCTGCGCGGCCAGATGAATCGGGTAGAAGGATTCCGCTCGGTGCAGCGAAAAGCGCCCCCCGCGGTTGCGTGGTGCGTTGACTTCCGTGAAGCCGTTCCTCGAGAATTTGGGGCTGCTGGGGCTTAACGACTCCGTGGAGTCTACAAGGTTGCTACTAGGGTTTGGGGTTTAGGGTTAAGTCTGAGGATGGTTGATGTTGCCCCCTGATGGGTGAAACCCCCTCTCCCAGCAGCAATGAGGTGTCCATGACTACTTCAACAGTGGCACCGGCAAGCAGCAAAAGCAAATGACCGATTACTGCGGGGCCTTTCCAGGAACTCGAAGACCAGCTCCCTTCGCAATGCTTGAATTCGCTCACGACGAGCGCCTGGCATGGTTAGTTCTTCGCAGGGAATGAAGGGATTTGGTACCTTGTACAATGCTTGCCAAAGGTTTTAATTGTAGGAGATATAAAGGTACCTAATTCCCCTAAACCCTAAACCCTAAACCCTAAACCCTAAACCCTAAACCCTAAACCCTAAACCCCCAACTAAGAACTGGCAAGATGAAACAAGGCCGGGCACGAACCGCGTGCTTGCGGAATGACGCGATCGAGGTGGCCTGTCAGTAGCAGAAAGGTTCCACATTCGGGTTAAAAGGTTTACATATATATATATATATATATGTATATGTATATATATATCTGTATGTATGTACGTATGTATATATATATATAGTTTCGTGAAGTTAGGTTTGTTGACGGCTTGTTGCCCGCAATCTTGGAAACCATGCTCGCCTTGCGCACCATGAGCTCCTCTGGCAGACCAGCGTCCTCCGAGGCTTCTGGGGAACCATTAGGTGATTCTTACGAGGCCGGGTAATGCGGATTGGCCTGAGGTTTGCAGTAGAGTCTGCAGTTCCGGATGCAAGATTTGCGTTTCAAGCACAACTGACACTACAACCTACGCAGCCGCTCGCTGTACTTTTGGTTGTATCATGGCTGTTCCTCCCTACTTGATGCTGATCCCTCAGGCGGCATCCTCCTCCTCATCTTCGTCCTCATCCTCCTCCTCGTCCTCTGTTGTGATCGATAAGCCGAATAGGCACTCATCTTCGCAGTTCGTCGAGGCAGCAACAGAGGGGGTCACCTGTGCAGGCGCTGACTCAGGGTAGATGTGTGGGAAACCTCTCAAAACCCTACAACCTAAACCCCAAACCCTAAACCTGCAATAAATGTGCCGGAGTAGGCTTTGCTCCGCCTATAGGGACCCATGGGGCAATGTATGCACCGACGACAGCTCCAGTTTCAGCTTGGATTTCAAGTAGAAGGTGTCCGAGAATAATGATGCACAAGCCGGGCCCATATCTGCATGGATTAGATGAGCGACCCATACAGTAACGAGATGCGGGCTCTTTGCCCGAAATCTTTCGTGATGGGCGGGGGTGCCTACTTTTCAGAAGTCTACCTGTCCTCCCCCCAATCAGCAGCCACAAGAGAGTCTTTGTATGCCACCCACTCTTCTCAACGGGTGGTGTTGCGTCATATCCCTACCCAAGCAGGAGGAGGAAAGGGTACAAACAAGGTCACGCACGAGCAGGGCCGAGGGAAGGTAAGCTTGAAAAGCAGACGGTGGGCCTTTCACCCGGATACAACGTTGCTCAGCTGTGTAACAGGTCTAGAATAAACTCACAGCTAGCTGCCCACAACACAAGCCCTAAGCCCTAAACCCTAAACCCGGGGAAATAGAGCCCGCACACTGGCTCGCAGCTTCATGACCGACTTCCTGAGAATTCTCAGGACAAGAAGATGAGCCTTTCTTTGTGCGTCGCCTCCGAGGATACCCAAAAACCCCTAAACCCCTAAACCCTAAACCCTAAACCCGAAACCCTAAACCCGAAACCCTAACTTGAGTTGAACATCCCTGAAGCGAGGGTTTAGTCTTATGCCGTTTAAGAACTCAAACTGAGCTCCTGACATGCCATCCGGGAACATGTGACTATACTCCCCTCAGAACCTTAACAAAAACACTATTTTTAATATCCTCATGGGTTTATATGAACCAAAAGAAAAAAGAACCCCAAGGGGGATACAGGTGAAAGCACTCCCGCGAGACTGTGAGAGGACCATTGCGGCGGTTTGGGGTCTTTGGCCACCTGCCTAGCAGCCTCGCGGTTTAGGGTCTTGGGTGTACGGCTTAGGGTTTCGCGTGTCCCGGAAACCCTTGGTGTCCAAATCCAGGCACGGATTGACAACGCTTCGGTGATCTGTCTATCCTCTCATCCCGGAGCGTGCCTCAGGCACGGCGGCGTACCACAAAACAGGCTGCTGGCTGATGGACCCGAGTTCTATCTTAAGCTTAGTTGCTGAGTTCATAAGCCCAAAAACGTGTACACTTTCAGTTCTGCAGGGGATTCCAGTACCCCAAAAAGTGTCAAGTGTGCTCGCCTTCCCCACCCCCTTCACCCCTTTCTGCAGATGGAGTGCTATCGTCTTCGAGCTCCAGCTCACTGAACGTGGGTGCAGTGACATTGGCCAGCATGCTGCATACCGACTCGTCAAGTTGGCCTCGGGAGGGAATTAGGTGCTGGCATCCCGAAGAGGCTGCATTTCTCAGATGCTTTTAGGGTCGAGTTGGGGCATGAGTCTTGTGCCAAGGGCGGCTCGTCACCGTTTGCTTCTACGTTACAGATGGAAGAGCAGCCTGCCCAGCTAGCATCAAACAAAAAGAGCACAAGTCTAGATCCTGGCCAAAGCAACAGTTGACTTCTAGAGGATTTAGGGTCGCATGAACGGGGATCGCCAAAAACGGCTGAGGACAGTCACGGTGCATCCGTCGAGACGATGGCTGCTCACAAGTGTGCGTCGTGCGTTTGTGCCACTCGTCTGGTTTATTGTTTTGTTTTACTCTGCGTTTTCTAAGTTCAAGTCCTAGCTACGCTTTCCTACTACTATGAACTGCTGCTACAATGGCTGAGTCGTGAGGTTCTCGGCCCCTTCAAGACGGCATTTGGGGACACAGGCAAACACGCAACCAAACAAAGAACACTTAGCAACACAAACTACCCCAACCCACAATACAATGCAAAACTCTGGAAACCAGTCTTCATTTGATGTGTCTTGAAACCCCAAACCCAAAGGAAACTGGGGACTGTCTGCCTGAAGCTGAAGTCCTCCTCGCAACCAGCAAAAACAAAACATTAGGGTTTAGGGTTTAGGGTTTTAGGGTTTAGGGTTTAGGGTTCAGGGTGGGATAAGCCTGTCTTGGTGGAGTGGAGGCCAAGGGGTGATTTTGAACGCTTCGGGCTTGACCATCAGGAGCCTCCGTGGTATTCCTATAACAAAGCACCTAAAAGTGGCGACTGTTTGCTGAAGAACCCCAAAAGAATGAAAGAGAATAATCCCTATATTACCCTAACAAGGGAAGATGATCTTTGATTTTTTCGGGGTTCTGAAGCAGTTCGTAGATGGTAGCACCGAGAAAAACACACCAGGCATGGAGTCTCTTCCATTTTCTGCATTGCGACAAGTCTCCAAAGAAGTTTCTTGGAAAAACCCTGCAACGCCTCAGGTGTCCAGGTTGTTCCAAGGCTGCTCGTGGTTAAAACCCCTTGCCCGCCAAACCCCGACGGATGCTGATCTGAACGTCAGCGCCCGGAGAGTTCTGGCACGCCATCCTATGGCGTTTGGTGATTTTGGTGTGGGTGCCACAGGTCACTGCAGCACCGTACCAGCAGCGTCGGTCAACACACATTCTTGTGAGGGACCCAGAGCCGCACAAGAGCCTAGAACCCTAAACCCTAAACCCCATAAACCGCATGAACCCTAGAAGTCCTGCAACACTAAGCCACGTTTCTGAAACCTGCGCACTACAGACTTACCGTCTCAGACCGGCCAAAAGAGTTCGCTGCGTTCGCGTTCGCGTTCGCCTTCGCGGCCGCTACTGGATCAACGGCCCTTGGAGCCACAGCTGCCTGGGATGTAGTGTTTAGGGTTTGGGGTTCACCGACAAACAAAAGAGAAAACACACGAAAACAAAAGGAAACCAAACATACCATGTACATGCGTAGGTTTTTGTTTATGCGTAGGTATAAATAAATGAGTATATATCTATATCTATACCTATTTGTATATCAAAATCTAGATTAATTGATCTCTACATATGCTAAGAAGCAGCCGCTGCATCCGGTTCCGCTTTCTCTGCGCTCGACGGCGGTTCCGCCACGTCCAACCGAATCTCCTGAGCATCACGGGCATGGAACGAGCGGACAGAGTTTTCTGAGCAATCAGGTGGTTACTGCTCCTCGCCCGCAACACCTTTCTGGCGCAGGGTTCCGGACAGTTTGTGTGGCCTCTGGCCGCATGAAGCCAAACCCTAAACGAGGGCTCACACGCACACTCTGTTCGTGGGTGGCCTAAGTCTAGGTGAGGGCACGCGTTTAGAGGTTAGGAGCTAGGACGGTCGACCCCCTGTAGCGCAGTGTTGTGGCCTCTGCTCCCCTTGCTTCAAGAGCAACGACGAGCCTAGCTCTGCCATTAGCTCCCTAAGGTGCGGATTTTGAGGTGCTTCCGGGCGGAGGTTGGCTCATCTATCATCTTCATGATCTGGGGATGATCGGAGTGGATCAGCGTGGTACTTGCTGCGGGTTCTGGAGAATACACATGATGATGAGGTGAGTTCCGGAACGAATCCTCGCATTCCTCGCCTCTCTCCTCATGGCGTAGGTGGTTGACCACTGTCTGATCGCTTGCGCTACGTACCGTTCCCACTACATAATTGGCGAGCGGCGGGAATAGACAGCAAAAGGGCCATCACGAACCTAAATCTGGAAACCCCGACTCCTGTGACCTGCCTCAAATGTGATGTCTACCCCTCAACCCTAGAACACAGTACTTTATAGGGATGGATCTTCCAGGAGAGTGGGCTGAAAGCCCTGAACCACAAATCCATCACGAGGAGGGTCTTGCGGCTCGTCTGCGTGGTGCAGGACGTCCGATGACGCTTCCGCCGCGTCGCTCTCCACGTCGAATTCGAGGTTGCACAATTCAATTGCATGGCCTGCAAGTTTTGGGGGTTCTGGCAGGTCTGGGTCTGGGTTTGAGGTTTAGGCAAGGTGCTACTCAAACCCTAAAGTTCATGCATCTCCCTCCTCGACCCCCCCCCCCCCGCCCTCTGAAAGCTTTGACAACCTTGCGTTCCAATATCAAGAATCCCACGCTGCCCCGCCTGCGAACTGCCACGTGCTGGATACAAGGCTGACAAACTGTATGAGCATCTGGCCGGCCGCGTTGACGGCAAAGAAGAGAGAATAGGCCGTGATGCACCCGCAGTAAAGAGCCTGCGACCGCTTCTGTTCCTGGTCGCGTCCAAAGCTCCGTATCCCTGCAACCCTAAAGTCTAAACCTAAACCCTAACACCCAACATGTGCTTTGATGTGTTTAGGGTTTCCGGCCTGAGGATGAAATGTTTTGGCTGTCATGTCAGAGCCAGTCCTTCAGCCTCTGTATTTGCGGGCATAAAGCCCACCTCCAACCTCTAAGTCCGGAACACTGTGAACCTTAAACCTCAAACCCGACGCATTAATCCCGAGCCCCACCAGATTCCCCCAAAAGACCAAACCTCAAGCCTTGCAAACCAAAGACAGGTATCTTCCAAGAAGTCCAAGATGTCTTGCCGCGGGATGCCTCGGCACACGCTGTCCCTGAGCGCCTCTCAGGGTTTGGGTCGGTTGGAGTTGGATCGTGCGTGGGACCATCGTCATGGAGGGTCCCGGCTGTAGATCACAAAGATAACAAGGCTACCCTAAACTCCTAAACCCTAATCTCAACAGTCTCAGCTTGTGGGCACTCGGCCTGTCGGAACTGCCAAGGGGGAAGGACACAGAATCGATGTACCACCCCCCGGACGAGCACAAAGGCCATGCATGAAGCAAACCAGTATTGTCGGACGAGGAGGAAACCTTGGTGGCCCAATAGCCATACCACAACAAGGGTACCTTGGTTGGGGTTGGTTAACTGTATCAGAGAACCTTGAACCCAAAACTGGGCAAAAAGGGTACCACTGGGCCACCAAGTCCTAAACCCTAAACCCTAAACCCTAAACCCTAAACCCTAAACCCTAAACCCTAAACCCTAAACCCAGAAACAGAAGATGGTGTTGATGTCCAACAAGGTGTCCAGAACCTGCAGCCCGACGCTTTGGTACAAGCCGTGGCCCTTCCAGGGCCAGGTGAAAGCCTTCACCTTGCTAGCCCAGGAAAGGCATCTTCCCAATAAGGGCACTATTCTTCTTGGGTTGGCTTTTGTTTTTATTCTTCTTTTTTTGTTTTAAACAAGGGAGCCCAGAACCAAAGCAAAAAAGGGTAAAGGGTACCCACAGGGCTCTCAAGCCACAGGCTTCAGCCTCCTGTCGACGTCGCCAAAATCTTCTGGTGGCTTCACCAGGAGCTCTTGGACTGCATGCTCGAGCTCATGACGAGCCTTCGTGTGGGTATCGGACGGGCCGCAAAGGAGGCGATGAAGTATGACGCCGAGCAGGCTGGCCCAGTACACACCGACAAGGCAGATGCAGATGTCTCTGGATGTATTGAAGATCTGCATTGCAGTCACCGGGGGTGCCCAGGAAAACAGCCAATGCTCGTCTAAGGTGCTATTCGTCAAGACCAACTTCTTCTGAGATCTCCAGGTGGGCAGCACAGGGTTCAGCATCCATGAGAAGCTGGAGACCACGTGGTCCGGGATTATCAGCCCCCAAAAGAGCCCCCCATACATGAAGGAGAAGATCCCAAACAGAGCTGTGGTGCCTTGGGAATCCACGTCAACAATTGAGATCATACTATATAAAAAGAAAAGTATCTATACATATATATATATATATCTATATATCTATATATCTATATATCTATATATCTATATATATATATATATATATATATATATATATGGGCACTGGTATACTTGAAAAAAACAGAAAAAAGGGATCCCAAATCGCCAAGAAGGTGGCGGATGAGGGCGGCCACCTGGCCGCCGAAGCTTCTCGATACCATCGCCAATGTCGGAGCCCTCAACACCTCCTCTCTGAGGGCGTTGGCAAAAGCTTTTTTTTGGTCTTACTTAACTATTTTATATTTTCTATTTTATGTAAATATACATATGCATATAAATAAAAAAGAATATATATATATATATGTATATATATATACACCCTTTATGAAGCAGAGGGAGTTGTTTTGGAAAAAAGCAGGATTGGGGAAGTTAAAACACCCAACATCACAGCCAACACGCCACCGCTGCAGCAGAAGCCACTACTGATGAAGCTTGGGGTCTTGGGCTTATCGGGCACAGGGCTTAAGCTCCTTCATCCCGTGTAGCATGACGGCTGGGCCCAGGTAAAAGGCCGCCGCGATCGGCAGCCACCAAGCCCAGTGTGCGAGCATTAGCACAAACCCCAACCAAAACATGCCCACACCGACTTCAAGGAAGCGCCAGAGCTTGACCACCAGGCCATTTTTCCGAAATGCCTGGCTGACTAGCAGCTTGGCACCCTCTAAGAAGGGCTCGGCCCCGTTTGCATGGCGGCTCCGCCTCAGAAGGCACTTTCGCTCCAGGCGTACCTCTGCGTAGGCGAGCAGGGCCGCCAAGGTTGGCATCAGCCAGGCACGCCAGTCTGTCATGGTGCTCACCATGGTGGCCTGGACAGTTGCATAGGCAATCCAAAAGTCCCGAGCATCGGGGTTCTGAAGGAGGTCCAGGAGCGGTATGCCGGTTTCGTCTTGCCATCGAATGTCGCCCCCACAGCTCGACCAGAGCTGCAACAAGGGCTGGGTCAGCTCTCCGGGATTGCGGCAGCTCAGGCTTAGTGCGGCTCGTCTCAGGGCGCTGTTGGTAGAGTCGGTATCGACTGTATAGTTACATCCCAGCTGAACAAGGATCTCACAGTCCAACTGGGGGCTACCCCTGCTGACATCGATGCTGCAATTCTCAAGCAGCTGCTGCAGGTCGCCCACGCCGCCAAGCGAAGCCGATTGCAGCTCCTTCTCGGAGCAGGCTACGGCGCCGCAGCGAAGCCATGGCAGCAAGGCCAAAGGCAGAAACGACGTGGGCTTCAGCCCCAAACCTCCCATCCTCAGCGAGGGAGACCTTAAGCCTGAAGCCACGCCGGGATAAGAAAATGAGATAAGGACTGGAGTCCAGCTCCTGGGGCTGGTCCTTGGCGTTTCCCCACTCCCTTCCGTTCTGCCTCCTGCTTGGAATGCAGGGACTCCTCAACTCTCCCTAAAGGGCGGGTTCACGAACTTCAGGGACCCTAAAATAACCCTTAAGTCATAGGCCTCCCTCAACAAAATAAGGACCCCAAATAAGGTACCCACAACTACCGTAACCGCCAAATGCGCTTAAACCCTAAACCCTAAACCCTAAACCCTAAACCCTAAACCCTAAAACCCTAAAACCCTAAACCCTAAACCCTAAACCCTAAACCCTAAACCCTAAATCACGCCTTCACCTGCCTGCTGCCAGGGGGCCATCGCCTCCCAGAACTTCTTCTGGCCGAGTCGGCGCGGTCAGGGAGCGCACGAACATCTGGCAACTCGACTTACTCCGGCCCGAGATTAAACCTCTAAACCCTAGAGAGAAAAGCATCTGCAGCTAGTTGCACTCTATTGGCCCGGTTGCAAGCACATGACTTATGTTGGTGCAAGGCAGGGAAGAAAAATACCACGCTCAACCTTGACAGTGCGTGGCAAGTGTTAAGTGTTGCCGGAGGAGGGTCTTCTCAGCCTGTGCTTGAGGCCAGGTTGTCGTGGATTCCCTGCTGAAGCCAACGCCGCCAGGGTGTTTAGGGTTTAGAGTTTAGGGTTTTGTTTTTGGGCACCCGCATAGCTGGACGAACCATCTTAGGGGTCAGGGTTCGTCACATTTGATATGCTGGCTACCGCAACGTTCCAGCGCAAACGCACAAGAGGCAAAGGCACAGAGGATTCCTCCGGATATTGGGCCCTAAACAGCCTAACCCCTAAACCCTAAACCTAAGCCCTAAACCATACAAAACCCGATACCCTAAACCTGTCAACCTTTATCAACTTCGGGAGGTGACTGCGCTCCTTGACAGGCCGATCAGCTTCATGCGCAAATGAGCAATCAGAGTTTCCCAGCTTTTCATGGCATTAAGCCATTTGGGGATACGCGCCATGGTCGCAGAAAATAAAGGATGCATGGCAGAATTAGCCTTTGCCATCGCCTCCTACGCAGCAGGAGTGTGGGCCAAGGTGCTGAGAAAGATTGCGGACGCGAACCTCGTGGCTTGCAAGTTGATGACTCTGAAGCCACCAGGGAACTGCGACAGGAAAAGAGCTGTTGACGCTGAAGCCGCAGATCCAAAAATCTCAAATGGCTGCAGATGCTCAGGGCTGATTAGGGCTTTGGGTTTAGGGTTTAGGGTTTTGGGGTCCAGGATTCGAGGAGGGTTGATGAAGTTGCAGCTCTGGACTTGAAAGCGTAGCGTTGAGTTGGGATTTAGTCGTGCAGGAATGCGGCTTTTCGGGTGGAGGTGGGGGATTGAAGGATAGGAATTCCCAACGCAACTCAAACGAAATGGTGCTCTCATTTCCAGCTTCATTCAAACACATGCTGGATTCTGGGTGCCTGAAGAGCAGAGGTGGTACCGCAGGTAGGTGTCTTTGCAGAATGCCTGGTAACCTCACGAAATCTCACGTGGCCGGTGCAGACGAACCAAACTTTCTACTGCCGAAGCAGTAGAAGTGGGAAGTCTTACTCAGGCAGCACACTTCACCTCAGCTCTCATCTGAAAAAAGGGCTCAGCTGCGAAATTTATACCTCCTCGCACCGAGCTTGACTTCAAAATACTTTGCGGTTGCTCCTTGGCCTTCTGGGCCACACAGACTTCTTGGCTTCAATTAGAACCCTTACCCTAAACCATGTGTTCCCAGTTGGTGGTGTTTACTGAACAGAACGATCACACGACTGGGCGACTCCTGGATCCCATACCAGAGGTCCAACCCGGCTTTCAAGCCGATTTGCCGCTGCTGTCAGGGTACTTTGCAGGCTTCTTGTGTGCTACAGCTGGTGAACTAAACTCTTTGAGTGAACCCTAACCCTAAACCCCAAATACCAAACACCGTCTCAGCTTCAGTCTGGTGCGCAGGCTTGACTGGGCCATCCTAGCACGATTGTGAGGGTCTAGAGTCTACAGCCTACGGGCATGAAATGGTCCTTCAGCCTTAAACCTAAAGGCCGAAATCATTAGAGGTGCTGGAGGGTTTCAGCTTCAGTGTTGGGGTCGGGTCGGACGTGTAGTCGAGGAGTCAGGACTTAGCACTGGCTGTGTGGCCACATTGAACCAACGGAGCAAGAAGCGTGTGACAAAAAATGCGGTTACCGGCCCTTGCCTGGCACAATTGTTGTGCTACGTCAGGATCAGTTGTGTTGGGTTCTTATAAGAAGAAAGGCATCACTTGGGGCACTGTTCGCGGACCCTGATGTAGAACAGAAACTCGCTGCAGAGCCCTGGCTTTGCTAAAAAGCTTTCATTTTAAGCAAGAATGCAGAATCGAACTGGCATATTATGCTCTTTTATATTTTTTCGCTCGGTTCTGCTACTGTAGCATGATATGTTCTGAGAATGTATTGCTACAGTTTTATAAGCCATACTTCCTTGACGCAGATTGCAACTCCACTCCTGCGGCTCTGGCGAATCGTGTCCGAATGAGCTAGCCACAAGATAGATATAGATAGATAGATATATGTATATATATATATATATATACGTAGAAACATGATTAAGCATAACGACCATAAGAAGGACCGTAAGAATGAGAACAACGGACCATAGCCCGGTCTTTTTCGACTTGTGGTGTTGAAAGATTAAAAAAGAAGCCTTGCCTTGCCTTGGCTCGGCAAAAGCAGGAGGGGGTGCCAACGAGCAGGAGCTGTTCATCATCGAAAACGAAGTCCGCCATTTTTTTTGCTGAGCGCTCGTTTCAATCTCGTGGATGGGACTAGTGGAATCCACACCACACCCTAGCAAAAATGGACAGCTTTTCTGGTTCTCAGCTTCCTTCCTTACCAGCTCCTGTGGCACGCAGCGGGCCAAAAAGCTTTGCCGCACTTCCGAAGGTCACGAAAGGTCATAGGGTTCCACTGCCCGGAGAGGAGCTCAAGCACCTGTTCGGCAACAACCCCCCCTGGGAATGAGGTCTGCATAGATTATATAAGGGATAGGGTATAGGGTTGAGGGTTTAAGGCTAGCGTTGAGCTCTCTGCCGGGCCTTATGCTGCGATCTGATGCGTTTGCTCGGATGCGCAGCGGGGGCCGGGTTGCATGTGCCGGGGCTGCAGCTGGGTGCCCGATAAGAATTGCAATACTCTTGGTTTTACTGCTATACAGAGCTACTGCGGGATCAGGATCCACAAGGGTGAACAATATTTGGGCCGCAAATAGGGGTGCATTAATGGAGGTACTCCGTTGTGCAATGCCCATTTCGACTAGTTGCTTCTAGAATGTCTGGGGCGAGAGGAGGAATGTGAGCTTAGGGCTTCGGGTTGAGGGAGTTCATCCTGCGTATCACACTCTTGCTATACTGCAGGGCTGCCAGGTCACTGAGCGGTGTGAGCCAAACTGGTTGGCGGCAGCTGCCACGTCCACTGCCCTCCGGCCAATCGATGTCCTCCATCCCAAACACTCAGATAGAGTTCAGAACCTCAACATTCGTTCTCAACGTGCGAGCACTATTTTTAAGGTCCCGGCCTCCTCTGTAACAAAGGCCACCAGATGGGAACCCTAAACCCTAAACCCTAACTGTTTGCAAAAGAAGGGCTTTCAGAGCTCACTGACATCAGACTCTTAAATGAAGGGGGCCTCCTTGATGTGAAGTGAGGTGGCTGCTCTGGGCCTCTTATTCAAAACCTTTAGGGTTTAGGGTTTAGGGTTTAGGGTTTAGGGTAGTACAAGAAATCCGGATCCTGGGCCATGGTTTGGGACATGCAGCCCGAAAGCCTAAATGGGGCAGTGCTTGCCGAGGAGGGTTTAATAACAGTGCCCTGAATTTCAAACAGATGCTTCAGGGGCTAGACTCGGGAGTAACCTAGGAAGAAAAAGGGTACCCTTTTTGGTTTTAAGGGGTTCTTTTTGGGAACCCCAACCCTAAAAAAAGGAAGACAAAACGGGCCTACTCCCCGGGCCCGGGGGGGTGTAGGGGAAGCTTGGGGCGCCGCCTGCGCACCCTGAACATGCGGGCGGGCGCTCCTCTTCTGGGGGTCGGCTCCTTCTCGGAGAAGCTCGCTGACCAGCTGAGGATCTCCTTTCCCCCCCCCCCCAATGACCCAAAAGAAAAGTTCCGTTTGCCTATCGCCCCAATTTGGGGGGGGGGGGGGGGCAAGGAGGGGGGGAAGAAGGGGGGGATGGGGGGGGGGGGATGAAAGCAGCGAAAGCAGTGGGGGCCTTGTCGGGGTGCGGCGCCTGGCTAAGTAATCATGCCCAGGTACCCTGTTGCGCCGCCAGGTGAAGCGGGTACAGGGACTCCGTGCGGTGCAGCGAGAAGCGTTTGCCAGGGCGCGGCGTGTTGACTTCGGTGAAGCCATTCCTTGAACCGGGCTACACAGCATGCGTGCATAAATGAAGATGCGGGAACGGTTAAGTGCGGGGAAAACCTTCAGAGTTCTTGGCGTCACGTGAATGCGAGCTGAGTCAGGTCTGAAAACTATTGCTGCGGGCCTTTCCATGAATTGGAGGACCCGCTCCCTTTGCTTCTCGCGAATCTGCTCGCGACGCTCACCTGGCATATAGCTATGTTCTTATATTGCTTTCTTAGTAGATTACTATATAATTCTGCTATCATATTTCCATATTGTCATATCATTATATTCTTGTAATATCATACATCTTCCCCGAGCCCATTTAGGGTAGGCTTGAAGCTCCGACTTTATCTCTAGGATCAGTTACAGGTAGGGTTTAGGGTTTAGGGTTTAGGGTTTAGGGTTCAGGGTTTAGGGTTTAGGGCTTCATATGGTGCGACATTAGGGGCACCATATTGGGGTCCTTCTTATAAGGGAATCCTATTATTTGGGGGTTTATTTTAGGGTCCCTATTTTCGTTAACCCTCCATATGGGCCCTTAACAAGGGGGCCCTCAGACTATCTGGAGAGGCTTGGGCTATGGCCATGGTTGCATCTTCGCCAAGGGTGCAATTGGCTAGAGGTAGGTACGCCATATCATGGAACCCTGGGTAAACAGGACCGCGCACGAATCGCATACTTGCGACATGAACCGGTCGAGCTGGCCTGTCAGGGGCGAAAATGTTTAGTCAAACCCAAAACCCAAAACCCAAAACCCTAAACTTAAACCCTAAACCCTAAACCCTAAACCCTAAACCCTAAACCCTAAACCCATATTGGTGAGTGCGTTCGCTGGCCTTCCGCACCATGGGCTCCTCCGGCAGACCGTCGTCCTCTGGGCTTTCAGGCCCCTACCAAGTCAAGCCTTAAACCCTCGGTTTAAGGTTTAGGGTTTAGGGTTAGGGTTTAGGGTTTAGGGTTTAGGGTTTAGGGATGAAAGGGTTTAGGGTTTAGGGTTTAGGGTTTAGGGTTTAGGGTTTAGGGTTTAGGGTGGGTTTAGGGTTAGGGTTTAGGGTTTAGGGTTTCGGGAGCCGTAGTCTTCCTGGGTGTCCCATGTGAACTCTGGACATGGTCCGAGGCTTTGCTGCGCTGTTGCTTGTGAGTCGCAGTGGTCAAGGCAACAAGTACCCAGTGCCCCGGGACTTCAAGTGAAAATCAACGGGAAGGCAAGAGCTCTTGTAGTTGAGAAGTCGGTGAAGATTCAGGCACAATGAAAACATGCAACTGCGCCAACACGAATGGGCAAAAACATCAGCTAAGACAGCTCAAGCCCACTCTAAAACAGTTTTTGGGAAGTCCCATCAACACGGCCTCCCCCCACCCCCCCCCCCCGCCCTTCAACCACACGGCTGAGCATGCATGCAACTGCGTTTACGGTTACCAGAACTTTGCAAGTGAGCCCGAACATTGTTGCTTCGCAATGTCTAGGAGCAGCATATGATAGAGAACAAGAAGAACCCTCACAAACGTCGCGCCCGATTATGTGTTTGGCTGTTTTTGTAGAACTCCATAGACAAGAAGAAACAAACAACAATACACCCCAAATCAACACTCGGATGCTTTCCAGAATGATGGCAAACAAGAACATCTTTCTCAGCGGTGTAGTAGACCCCGTGCCGAGCTTGTTGTAATCGCCCGGACCCTAAACCTCCTAAACCTCCTAAACCTCCGAAACCTCCGAAACCTCCGAAACCTCCTAAACCTCCTAAACCTCCTAAACCTCCTAAACCTCCTAAACCTCCTAAACCTCCTAAACCTTGCGGCCTCTTCATCCTCCTCTGTTGTGATCGATAGGCGGAACGGCCACTCGTCTTCGCAGGTCGTGGAGGCCGCAGCAGAGGGCGTCAACTGCGCAGGCGGTGGCTTTAGCATTTAGGGTTTAGGGGGTTTAGGGTTTAGGGGGTTTAGGGGGTTTAGGGGGTTTAGGGGGTTTAGGGGGTTTAGGGTTCAGGGTTTAGGGGTTTAGAGTTTAGGGTTCAGGGTTTTTCTGGCTTAGAGTTGCACGCGACGAGAGCTGGAGAGATGCGTGAGGGGAGCCGACAATTGCGTATGGCGCTGGCTTTTCTCGCCCCGAGGACGTTCTGCGAGGGGCAAAGGTTTTTTTATTGCTTAAGAACCCCCAAAATAGAAATGTTCTTCCTTATTAAGGATAATATCGGGATTCTCATTTTCTATTCTTTTGGTTCTTAAGCAAATAGTAGCTATGGGTGGTAAGCCTATGGTGCCGACTGAGCTCGCGAAACGAGGGGGCAACAAAGTGGGCCCTATAAACCCGAAACACCTAAAAACCCTCAAGCCAAAAAAACCTAAATCCGAAGAACCCTCAAAAACCCAAACCCTCACATCATCTCACATCTACACACGTCTGCCGTGCATCTGAAAAGTGCCTGGCAGGTGCCCCAGATGAAGACCTCGCCCTCCCGGCAACGCGACTTGCAGGTTCGTGGGTAGTTAGAAGTAGGTTTATAAGCAGGGTAACTTTACTTATCACCCCATTTAGGGGTACTTATCACCCTAGTTGATGTAGGTATAAGTATGGTACCTATACTTATAACTCTACCTAGGGGGGTACTTAGAACTCTACTTATCAGTACCCTTATACTACCCATACGAAACTCCAAGTAAGGCCGACGGTGGCTTCTAAGCCAAGGCACGGAGTGAAAGCTCCGATGGCTATCCGTGCGGGTGCCTCAGCTTCGGCCATGCTCCAAAACCCTAAACCCTAAACCCTAAACCCTTGACCCTTAACCCTAAACCCCGGCGGTAAGAGTTGTTTGCTGCGGGTGCTTTTATTTTTCCAACCAGAAGGGCTCCTCCCACCTTCTAACCTCAAGAATCCCTGAAGCTTGCATGAACCTCCTCCCCCTCCTTGCAGATGGAGTGCCGTGGTCTTCACAGGTCGCGGGCTCACTGACATTGACCAACATTTTGCATTCGGACCCATCGAGTCGGCCTCGGGAGGGTAAGCCCTGGCATCTTAAGCTCCTAGTTGCTGAGTTCATTAGCCCCCCCAAACAGTGTGTAAACTTTCAGTTCGATGGGGGATTAGAGTATCCCAAAAAGTGTAAAGTGTGCTCACTCAGCTACTAAGAGCTTTAGATGCTGCGGAGATCGCATTTCGTGGACGCCACGACGACGCTTAGGGCAAGTTTTGGGGTTCATGGGGTGAACACTTGGAGGTCCATGGGTAGTCATAAGTGAGAATCTAAGCATGGTAACTAAGCTTATGACCCTATTTAGGGGTACTTGTAACCCAACTTGTAAGTGCCCTTTTCGTAGCAGTCATCACGCCACTCGAGCTCTGTTGTATCTCTGATTCCTGCCTTCAAGTCCCCGTTCAAGCTTTTCCCGGCAACCTGTAAACTGGATAAAGCTAGATGCCAGTACCTCAAAGGCTTGAGAAGCTTCACCGCAAGAAAGTCCAGCTACGCGCTCTGTGACCGGATGTCGGGGCAACCATATGGGGGTTTACGAAAATGGGGGACCCCTAATATAGATCCCCAAATAGTAGGATTCCCTTATAATCAGGACCCCAAAAAGGTACCCTCATATCGTAAACCCCCATATCAACGCGGAATGTTCGCCAACTCCCGGAAAGGTGGTGGAGAAAGCTGGGAGGGCATCCTGCAAGGAAATAACTCGGACGTACCCTTAATAAACTCACCCAAAACCCTAAACCTTAAGGCCTAAACCCTAAACCTTAAACCCCAGACCATCCTGCAGCCAAGAGGCCGTCGCCGCCAAGAACTTCTTCTGGCCGAGCCGGCGCGTTTATCGCGAGCACAGGCATCGACAAGACTACCCTGGCCTTCAAGATCTGTATGCGGCCTGCGACCCCTGGCAAAATTCCGGGTTTAGGGTTTTAGGGTTTGGGGTTTGGGGATGCAATAAGTTGGCAATAAGAGAAGAGGCATGAGCTTTTTGTGGCAACAGGTGTAGGCGTATCGGTGGCCATGAACAATGTTGAGGGCCTGAGCCTGTGCTTGGCCATTCGATCAGGGAGCCCCTGAACACGCAGCGACGAGCATCTCGATTCTCTCATCAAGCTCATGCATCGGGTTAAGAGGCCTCCTATGCCCTCCTATACTTGCCAACCTTAATTCCTTTTGTAATGCCTTATCGGCGAAGAGGTCTATGAAGGTTGGGTGCATCTTGTGGCATTTTAGCAAGACCCATGCGCAGTCTCAACCAAAAAACAGGCTCTCATAGCGGCTTTCTGCATGCGTTGAAGTGCATACAACTTCTTAAACCTTTACAGGCCTCTCTGCATCATGCCGTACATGGCCCTTGGAATCTCGAACGCCCTATGCCAGCATTCCTGCTGTGTGGCGACATAACTACTACTACTACTACTACTACTACTACTACTACTACTACTACTACTACTACTACTACTACTACTACTACTACTACTACTACTACTACTACTACTACTACTACTACTGCTGCTATTACTATTATGTGTGTGTAGGTTGGGAACTCCGTAGTGTTGAGGACACAGCCCAGTCAGCTTTCTGGTCACCTTACCTAAGACATTGCTGCCGAGCCGCGGCGCAGTACTCACCTTGGGGTCTTCGGCTTCTGCAGAACCATTCTTTCAGTCTTGTGGCTGTGAGGCTTCGTTCGCTGAGTCTGGAGGATCTTTCGGGTGCATTTTGTGCGAGCTCCGATCCTCTGCATGTGTTGAAGTCTTCAACTGTGGGAAAAACATAGCAGCTGGAGCTGTTCCTCATAGAACTCTGGATGTGCGTGCATCTTCCAAAGCCTTAAATCTCAGCATTCCTAAGCTCCAAACGCTCTGATATCAGCAGTTCCACGTAACGTCGCAGCATTTCTAGGTGCACAACTGCTTGTTTGCTTCCTTGCCTGTCCGACGCTTGTTTGCTTGCTTGTCTCTCCGACGCTTCTTTGCTTGCTTTCTTATCTGTCCAGGTACCGCAAGCAGGGCGACAGCACAACACACATTGAAAACACATAGGTGCATACCAAGAAGACCCTGTATTTAGTTCCTGTGGGGTTAGAACTTGGAATGCTCCCCATGAAGCTAACAGTCCTTTAGGGGGATTATGCTCGAGGGTACAATAATCCTACGAAGGACTGTTAGCATAAGGGGGAACATCCCAAGTAAAAACACAGGAACTTTTTGAGCACGCTCTCCCATCCTTACCAATGGGCGGTCTGAACAAGATCTCGTGATATCATGCCAGGACTCACCACGAAGGTTCATGGATAGTCGTAAGTAGGGTGTAAGTATGGCAACTATGCCTAAAACCCTACCAGGATACGTATAACCCTACCTATAAGTACCCATATGGACCTCCAAGTATGTTGAGCATGGCATGGGCTCATAGGAGCTACGGTTGACCTCCCAAACCACCCAACCCCTTGGAGCCCTCAACCTCATGCGGCTTTGCCCGAGCCTCACACCCCCAAAAAGCCCAAAACCCCAGGAGCAAAAAAACAACCCGGGACAAGCAGACGACCAGTGCAGCCACGCTGGCACACGAGAACCACTCCCAACTCCGCTTTCAGTGGAGGCGCCTCAAGGTCTTCTTCGGGGCGCCTTTTCGTTTGTTTTGTTTCTGTTGCTGTTGTGTCCGCCCACCTAGTGGTGGTGTAAGGCTTAAGTTCAGATGGGCTTCCGTGGAGCATTTTGGAGGGCCCTTTGTTGCCTCCTGGCTGAGTGACTGAGTGTGTTCAAGGTTTGTATAAGTACCCTATCTTGTGACAAGGTACCTTCAAGTCGGGTTGGTTTTCAAGGTAGGGCCGGTTTGGGAAGGTCTCAGGGCTCGGGATTCAAGGAGCCAGGGTGTGGGGGTTCTTTGAGGAAGGAGGCCTCGAGTCAATGAGACGCAAAGGTACGGCAGAGCACACACACCCGCATCTGCGCCTGCGCAGCCTGAGGTGCCAAAACAGCGTCAAGTATACAGTAGATGACCCTAAACCCTAAACCCTAAACCCTAAACCCTAAACCCTAAACCCTAAACCCTAAACCCTAAACCCTAAACCCTAACCATGGCCGCCGCCTCTCCATGGAGAGCGCAGTGGGGCAGGTCGAAGCCTTCCAACCGCTGTGGCGAGTGAGTGGAAACCCAAAAGGTGCGTATAGGGTTTAGGGTTTAGGGTTCAGGGTTCAGGGTTTAGGGTTCAGGGGCCTGGTTCGTCGTAGTAGTAGTAGTAGTAGTAGTAGTAGTAGTAGTAGTAGTAGTAGTAGTAGTAGTAGTAGTAGTAGTAGTAGTAGTAGTAGTAGTAGTAGTAGTAGTAGAGTAGTTAGTAGTAGTAGTAGTAGTAGAGTAGTAGTAGTAGTAGTAGTAGTAGTAGTAGTAGTAGTAGTAGTAGTAGTAGTAGTAGTAGTAGTAGTAGTAGTAGTAGTCGTCGTCGTCGTCGTCGTCGTCGTAGTAGTAGTAGTATAGTAGTAGTAGTAGTAGTAGTAGTAGTAGTAGTAGTAGTAGTAGTAGTAGTAGTAGTAGTAGTAGTAGTAGTAGTAGTAGTAGTAGTAGTAGTAGTAGTAGTAGTAGTAGTAGTAGTAGTAGTAGTAGTAGTAGTAGTAGTATAGTAGTAGTAGTCGTAGTCGTCGTAGTCGTCGTAGTCGTAGTCGTAGTAGTGAGTAGTAGTAGTAGTAGTAGTAGTAGTAGTAGTAGTAGTAGTAGTAGTAGTAGTAGTAGTAGTAGTAGTAGTAGTAGTAGTAGTAGTAGTAGTAGTAGTAGTAGTAGCAGTACTAGTAGTAGTAGTAGTAGTAGTAGTAGTAGTAGTAGTAGTAGTAGTAGTAGTAGTAGTAGTAGTAGTAGTAGTAGTAGTAGTAGTAGTAGTATAGTAGGAGTAGTAGTAGTAGTAGTAGTAGTAGTAGTAGTAGTAGTAGTAGTAGTAGTAGTAGTAGTAGTAGTAGTAGTAGTAGTAGTAGTAGTAGTCGTGGTAGTAGTAGTAGCAGCAGTAGTAGCAGTAGTAGGAGTAGTAGAAGAAGAAGAAGTAGTAGTAGTAGTAGTAGCAACGCCCTATATATGCACTTTAAGGGATTACATAGAGGGCCCTATGTATACACGTTAAGGGATTATCTGGGGTACCTCATTTCCTCATTCCCTACTAAGAACCAGCCAGTAAAGCTCGACTGGAGACCTGGAGCTGCTAGCTTCACTCGCTTAGACTGCTTATTACTCTGTACACCAGCCGAGCCGTGAGGGTGGCAACCTTGGTCACTGAAGCCTTCTTTCACGACCTGAAGCGCCACAAGCCCAATGGCATCTGCTTCCCAAATCGCCTGTTGGCAAGGTCTGCTGGCGCGCTGAAATCCTGAGCTCTCGCGAAACCGTAGGGTTTTTTGGCCTTGGACCTTTGGGGATTGAAAGGAGAATGGAACGTTTGCATCAGTTCCTGCATCGAGAGCTTAGCCAGACTCCAAGAGTGTTCTTCACTCTTGTCTTCGGGACCCGCTCATTTGCAACCAAGGGGCTTTGTGGCCGGCCATAGCCTTGACTTGCAAAGGCTGGTTGCGTTCTGAGCAATTCGTACAGGCACCACGAGGCTCGTAGGGTCACGTTGAAGCACCCTAAGCACTAGTCCCTAAAACCGTACGCCGAATGAGCTTTGCCGCAGGGTTGAACAAGAGAGATCATCTCAACGCCAGTATGTGCCATTCTTTGCATCCGTGTTGTTGTGGGAGCGTGGTTTTAACATAATTCGTGCAGTAGATGAAGTAAATAAACACAACAGTAGCTAATATCTTTCAGTAACTCAGAAAATATTAACTATGATGCTTGTCGGATCTTACAAAAAGCCATTTTCATTCGTCTTCCTTTCTGCCACGACTGAAAGAAGAGCAGATAAAGATCAAAGTTGAATTCGAGCTGCAATCCCAACTTTCTTGTCCTAAGAAAGTGTTTGAGCCCGACCTACGCTAAATGAGAAGCCTTTCGATTCATTCGGATTGCAATAGACATGTATTGGGGTCTTGCTCACAGGAATCATATGAAAAAAAACACCGCTGGTCGTTGCCCTTGAAGGGCATCTTGAGGCAATTTCCCAGTAGTTGTTACTCATTTTCTGTCTAGAATGCCGTGAGAATCGTAGCTCGTAGCTGCACTGCCTCTCTTTTGGGTTCTGGGTGTACAACTTACTTCAGAAAGAGGACCCTCAGTAAACTCCATGAAGTGAGATTCCTTTTGTTCATGCCATTATGAAGATTCTACAATGTGATTCAGGTTGACCGAAGCCAAAGAGACTCCAACCGAATTAGATCATATTCTTACCTGAATTCAAGAGCCAGTTCAATCTTTTGTTCCTTGCAACTTCACCAGGAAATGCTTTCAAACTCAACTGGCTGTTCATCACACAGGCGAGTTGAAACGAAAAAAAGCAGCTAGATGCAAAAAACAATCTCGCCATTCTAGACGGGCACAACATATGTGTATGCACTGATAGAGAAAAGTAGTAAGTCCTAATTGAGCTCGGAGAACAACATATGAGACTGAGCCTGCATAACTGACCGCAGCTCTCCTGCACATCCTTACAACATCTGCCTGAAAATGCGTCACAACGGGAAAGCCCAAAATAATTGAAGGAAAAGTGAAGAAAGTGTCATTCTCAGCCTTTTGGGGCGTGAACTATGGAATTTTGCAACTCTTACATTTGCAGCTCTGGTGGAAAAGCGGTTTGCGCAGTCGCAGCAACAATATCGGAGGAGGTTCTGCTTCTTCTTCCTCTTCTTCTTCTTCTTCTTCTTGCTGCTGCCGCTGCTGCTGTTGCTGTTGCTTCATGCTATGTTGCATTTATGTTTTGGAAACTACAAACACAAAACAAACCACCTGCACTCCCACCTCGCCACATGTCAAATATCTGTTCGTGCATTCACTGAGTACAGAACTGACTTCTGCATTTGCTGGCTGTTGTTATTATTGCTATTATCATTACTATCATTAGTATTCTCACGATTATGCTTGTTACAAGTATTGACCTTCTGGCGAATTTTGGGGATTATGGGCGGGCTGACTTGGAGGAGTGTCCCAGGCAACATGAAACCAGAAATTACACGACTCAATGGGGGTACAGTACCTTTTTTTTGGGGGGCTTCCTTGTTATTTCAGGGCATTTTACTATTTCGGGTGTCTATATTTATGTTGGGGAAAACCTAACCCAAACCCTAAACCCTAAACCCGAAACCCTAAACCCTAAACCCTGAACACCCCCCCCCCCCCACCCACCCCAATGCCCGCTTGCCCCGAGCAACTGGGGCAGAAGGCGCTCTCCACAGCTGTGAAGCTCGTTTGGGGCATCCGCGCGGCCATCAGCAAAGGCCTACAGGGACGAGGGCCTAGGGTTTAGGTTTAGGGTTTGGGGTTTGGGGTTTGGGGTTTAGGGTTTGGGTTTTGGGGTTTAGGATGAGGCATAGGGGCTTCCTCGCTCGCAGCTTGCTCCGGGTCCATGGGGCGCCTAGCTAAAGGCACAAAGCCGAGCACAAAACCCCAAAGTCCAGTACTGACAATCTTCAAGTTTTTTGGGGTTTTAGGGCATCCAAAGAGAGACTCTGGACGCCAACCAAACCCGTCTCCTACATGGGGGTTTTACGATAATAAAGGACCCCTAATAAAGGACCCCAATAAGATACCCCTGATCTCAAACCCCCACAATCTCCCACATCTCAAAAGCGTAACGGGGGCTCCAGTGGTGAGGCTTCCGAAACTCTTGCGAGACGGGGAGAGGCTCCGTGTTCCCGGCGTGCTCGAATACACATGCCTGTGAAAGTTTGCATGTATGGCAATACTGCGAGTGCAGAATCCCTGTGTGCCAAGTCCGTGACACACAGAAGCTCTACCCCAGAACTGACAAACTTTGCTGTTTGTACACTTTGGACAACTGGGCATCCCACATGTTTTTGACTTCGCAGGGACTACATGCTTACTCGAGGACTTAAGCCCTAAGCCCTAACCCTCCAGAAAGGACTGTTGTGAGGCGGAGTTGTTGGGTAGTTTTGAGTCGTTTCATAAGGTTTGGGGGTTAGTATGAAAGCTTAAAACTTTAAACTTATGGCCTCACAACAGCTCTTTCGTAAAGATCTTGACCATGATGTTTGGCAACAGTGAGGTGATGTTTTGAAACAGTGACATGTTCAAGCCCCCTCCCCCCCCCCAACCCCTAAACCCTAAACCCTAAGCCCCAAAGCCGTCAAAGCCCCGAAATCTCGGAGAGCCTCGAGGACTGCTCGGACTAACTTGTGCTTCGCCTCCTGCAGCTCTTTTCTCTCTTGGAGGTTCCTATGGAACTCTTCGTTGCTGAGTTCATAGGCCCCCCAAAAGTATACACTTTCAGTTCTATTGGGGGCGATAGTATCCCAAGAAGTGTAAAGTGTACTCATTCAGCTACGAAGAACTCATAAGCAGCTAGGGAAAGTGGGGTTATACGTAGGGTAACTACACGGAAGCTCCACAAAGCATGCCACCTACTGGCTATACGGCTTAAGACCTCCAGACTTGTTTCCCTTGAGGCTTTGCAGGCTTCAGAGGCTTTGAGGTTTACGGCGGCTTTGTGAGAGCTTAGGGCTTCGCCCCTGAAGCCCACCAACTCCAAGCCTCTCTTGCCGGGTTCTCAAGACCCAGATGCCGCCCTAAACCCTAAACCCTAAACCCTAAACCCTTTAAACCCTAAACCCTAAATCCTAAACCCTAAACCCTTTAAACCCTAAACCCTTTAAACCCTAAACCCTAAACCCTAAAAGCCCAAGAGTGACAAATCTAAAGAATCCCGGTTTCATGGGCAGTTGATGGGCACTCCTCATCCTTGCAGGCAGCAAAGTGCGCGAAAAGCATGCCAACCTGCTGCTTCAGCAGATCTTATGCGATCATTTCAAGGGGAAGACCGTTCCAGGTAAGGACGGGTGCTTTTTGCTAAAAGCTTGCGGCAAAGTCTATAAATGACTCTTCCATTTGGCACATCTTTTGACTGGGAGTGCCGCCCACATGTGGGAGGTGCTACGGGTATTTAAGATAGGTGACATTCACATCTGCTTGAGCCCTCGAAGCCGTCAGCTGCAGAATCTGTACTGGAAGACCCAGCCCATCTGAGGCGTGCGCAGGCACCACGCGGGTGATGTCGCCGTGGAGAATCATCTGCCCTGATGCCTGAAAGGATCCCTACTTCAACGAGCTCTGTAGAAGCAAAGCTCTGAGCCTAATACCCTATGACTGCATTCCTACACGGGCAGACCATGCCGAGGTACGCCCTCACTCCCGGGAGGGGGGTTCCCGGCTTCACAACCCCCCTTTTTTATGGTTCCCTACTACCCCCGCCTAGGTTTGCCCCTTAAATAGCCTTGATTAGGCCCATGTATCCCGAAAGAGCCTTTTGGGGGTGGGGGGAACCTAGGGCCTAGGGGGGGTAGGGTAGAGGGGGCTTCACAATAGGTTTATGGCACCCACATAGCTGGTCGAACAGCTCAGCAGGTCTCCGACAGTCTGAACTCAATCGTGCGCCCCTCCTCCTGCCCTTCTTCAGGTGCTCGGTTCAGTGCAATCGGTTTAGGGTTTAGGGCTAGAACTGCCTCATCGAACTCGCATGTCTGACCATCCAAGCCAGCCTGGCCACAGGAATCAAGCTCAGGTAAGCATGACATACCCTAAACCCAAAACCCAATACCCAAACCCCTGACATGACTTAGCAAGCAAGGCCACATGACCAAACCAGTTCCGACCCAACATTTGGCCAACAGGAGTTCCAAAACAGCCCCAAGGCAAGCCACCCTAATCCCTAAACCCTGAACCCTAAACCCAAAACGCAAACCCTACCCTAACAATAAACCCTAAACCCTAAACCCCTCCAAACAAACAGGGACCTCCTCGAAGCCCTCGCGCAGCTGTGCCGCAAAAGCTGCGATGGCCATGGCAGCTCCTTGGTCGGCAGGTTGTGCCACCCGCAAAACCCTGGTAGGGTTTAGGGTTTAGGGTATAGGGTTTAGGTAGCTGGCAGCTGAGACTGCGGCTTACCGACTAGAAAGATGCCACATTTCCCCACGAGTCCTCATTGCTAAACTTTTCACTCGCGTCATCCAAACTCTGCTCCAATCCATCCAAGGGACAGCAGCAGTCTTGCTCGCAGGCTGGAGCTAGCTCAAGAATGGACAATTGCTATTCTTTTCGGTCCTTTCAGTGCATGGAGGATGAAAAGTATGCAACCCATTGACAAGTTGAGCATGTGCTTGCCGTGGCATTTGCTGGCCAAGATCTTGCCGAAACAACTAAACCATACTTGCTGGAAGCGTGACAGCTATGGTTTGAGGGTGTAGGGCCGAGGCTACCGCCAGGATTTCCGATCACACTTGCGCAAGGCTGCTCTACAGCTTAGTCCGCTGGACCCTTCCCGCGCTTGAGCAGTGCACGGTGTGTCAAACGCAGCTTTCATCGGTTCGGTGGGGTTTGGGGTGTGCAGGAACTCGCCGTTTGAACAGGTCTGCATGCTCTCCAGCACAGGTTCGTTGACTTCTTTTGATATCGCATATGAAATATAGTCATAACTATATGCCATAAGTAGAATCTATAGTTTCAGAATACAACAAATATAGCTATAAGGATAACATCTATATGAATAAGTATAAACAAAACAAAGAAGAATAAAGGTATAAGGATAACATCTATAATAAGAGACATTAACATTACAACATAAAGAAGAATAAAGAAGCCCTTCTTTAGGCATCCGGAGGTGCGCAGTGCGACGGTGCTCTCGACTCGCCACCTTTGACGGCACGCCACATCCACACAGGATTTCCGAGCCTCTTGCAGAGCTGTGTGGTGTGGCATGGAACAGAAGGGTTTAGGGTTTAGGGCCTTTAGGGTTCAGGGTTCAGGGTTTCGGGTATAGGGTTTAGGAGAAAAGGGTCATGACCGTTTTGTTCTACCGAAGATCTCAGCTCGCTCGGCTCCAAATGCCTGCCTGAGTTTCAGAGATGCTGCTGCCACTCAGGCTCGATGTTCGAGCCCGGTGTCGGTCGATGGACTACTATTTGCTTAAGAACCCCAAAAGAATAAAAAAGTAATATTCCCTATATTACCCTTATAAGGAAGAACATTTTGCATTTGTTGGGGGTTCTTAAGCAATTAGTAGTGGGCTGGTTTTTAGTTCATGCAGGGTGCCACATCTACTCGGGGCTTTGCGCACAGTCACTCGTGCAGCCAAGCTTTCCTTGCACGTTCTCGTGCCTTCTGAAATCAAGTGCAAAGTACCGGCTGTCAGACATAGCACTCACCAAAAGCCAAAGTCAACCAGGTGAGCCTTGCCCTGACTTTAGGGACAAAAACAAAAACGTTGCTTCCGAGCTGAGCCCCTGAGTCTAGCAGTCTAGCGTGCAGGTGATTCTCCACCTTCGGTCGAGATGGGGTCGATCTACCAGCTTCGCTGGAAGACATCGGGTCCGTTCAAGCTTGCCTGGATGTAGTGCGAATTACAAGGTGCCTAGTGAGAACGCCGTGAACACAAGATCCTAAACCCTAAACCCTAAACCCTAAATCCTAAACCCTCCCAAAACTCCATGCTCTAGGTTGCATGCAACAGCCTCCCGCTTGGAGTGTGAGGGGAGAGAGGGAGCAGCGGAGTCGGCTCCCTGTGACCCAGAACATCACGTGGCTGGTCTGACTTAATATTGGAACCCTTAAACCCTAAACCCTAAACCCTAAACCCTAAACCCTAAACCCTAAACCGAGTAGACCTTGGGTAATATTGGGGAGCAACCCCCAGGTTCCCAAGACAGTCTGCCTGGGCTTAGACCCTCACCCTAAACCCTAAACCCTAAACCCTAAACCCTAAACCCTAAACCCTAATGCCTTTCACTGGCAACCCTCGACCTAGAACTTTGCTCTGCCTTGTGGCCAGAAGCTTTCTGCGCCCTGCTTTGGCCCAAGTACCGGGTTACAGCCATTGACATCCACTAGCCCGTTGGACCCCGAACTTTGGCCCTGTGAGTGGGCTTGTTAGCCTCTTTACCCATTCAACCCAGTAACCCTGAGCCCCTAACCCTAAACCCTGAACCCAATCGTTTGGACCCATGAATTGGCCTCAAACCTGATAAACCCGTTAACCCAGTAACGCCCAGATGAGTGGGCGAATGGGCTAACGGGGTTAGCGAAAAATGTCAGCGTGTCACATACCCAACACTGTGTATACACACTGGATCCCGATAGAAGCAAATTGGAGCTCATATCCATTCAAAAGGGCCAAAAGGACTGGGTTCGTGCCCTAAACCCTAAACCCTAAACCCCAAATACGGTTAGTGGTGTTATGGGTTCAAGGCCTAACCTATCCATAGGGCCCAAACGATTGAGTTCATGGGTTTCATGGGTTGCGGGATACGCGAAGCAGTGAGAGTTGCACAAAATGCAAGGGGGGGATGCCCCACCTAGCCGGCATGCTTGCGTAGAAACGGACCAGGGTACCCAAACTGAGTGCAGAGAAGCCAGTCTTAGGCATCCTGTGCGATTGGAGGGGCAGGAAGGGAACTCTCATCGCCGAGCTTCAGGTGTTGGACAACGCCTTGTCGCATGAGATAGGCGGAGAGGCTGTCGGCTTCTCGGGAGAGGTTGCATCATCAACCTAACTTCCTGACAAGTCAAGGGGCATGCTGTGGAATGGGGTAAGCCTGGGGATGCGATGACCCCCCACCTCTCCTGTCCCACAACCCCTTTGCTCGCAAACACGCGTCAACTCCATCTGCGTACGGAGCAGCTCAAGCAAGATGCCCTGTAAGAGTGACCCTTAATAAGCCCGAATCTTATTCCCCAATCTAACCCTTAAATGTACCTTACTCCCTATAAACCTACTAAGTAGCCCCTAAATAACCCCCAAAGAAACCTTAAGGTCCCTTATAAGGCAAGAGTTTGAGTTGCCCCACAGCTCAGGCTCAGCAAGCATGCCCTCTGCTTTTGCCTCTTGCTCAAGGTTGCGCTTCAGCCCTCTCGCCTGCTGGTGGGCGGAGGGCGGCGAAAGAAATTGATGTACATTCTGCAGCTCCTGATGTACCGAGGTGCTGTCTCCACCAGAAGCGGGGCACCCCCAGGTCACCACCCTCCCGTCTCTGCGAAGGGCGGCGAAGGCGAAGGAAGTACTGCGCACGAGAAGGACATCCTCAAGTTCGTCCTGGACCATGAAAATGCCGGCTAGGGGGCAGCCCTGAATCCCAAACTGCCAAAACTCAAAAAACCCCTCCCCGCCCTCTCCTGCACTGCACTGCTGTCGCCGCCACAGGAAGGCTCGCCCCAGGTGATGACTGCGCCTCCTGCCAGGAGAGCTGCGAAGGCCGCGCAGGTCGACTCGATCCGCTCGACAGCCTTCAGCTGCTCCTGTGACGACTTTTGCTCTAAGAGGGTTGTACCTGAAGTCACCTGCATACCTGTGAAGACAGCCACTTCCATAGTTTTGGGGCATGATGGGTTACTCTCGGCTGGCTCAGAAATCTCGCCGGAAAGCTTGCAAGGGACGCCCGAAAAACTTGTTTTAAGCTCCTGGACAGCCTGGCTGTTCCCTCCCGCAGATCCGTCGCCCCAGGTGACGACGGAGCCATCGCCGAGAATCACGGCAAAGGCATCGGACGTGGCCTCTGTGCATTTTTCTTGCATCCTTCTTGACCCCTACAGACTTGAAGCTCACACAGGCGATGTCTCTGCACAAACTTGTGCTGAGCCCGTTAAGCCGGTTTTAAGTAAACCAATCTGTTCCCTGCACCTGCACCAGCTGCACGTCTTGGAGCTGCGGCTGGACGCTCGCAGAGTCCCCGCCGAAGCGAGCATGACCCCAGGTCACAACCTTGAACAGGCTGGATGGTCATTCTTGTCGTACCGGATGCTAGGGTTTAGGGTCTTTACGGTTTAGGGTTTAGGTCACATGAGTCACCAGATGCTACGCTGGGAACTGAAACCGTGCTACGAACTGCGAGGCAGGACTCCAGGATACGATAGGTGTCCGCGTCATGTTTCTGGACCGATCGTTCCATGGTCATGCGTGCAGGGCGCTCTTTCCGTGATGCGCTTGAGAACCCAAAGTTCCCTACCGGCCCTTAACCCTGAAATCCTAAACCCTAAGCCCTAAGCCCTAAGCCCTAAACCCTAAACCCTAAACCCTAAACTCTAAACCCTAAACCCCCTAAACCCTAAGCCCCCTCCCAACGCTGCAACCTCTAAATCTCCACACCCAGGGGACGGTTCCATCAGCCCTCAGCGCTGCGAAGGCCGCGGCTGACGACTGAAGATGCCGCACGTCGTGGAGGTGCCCCTGGTTCTGGTTTAAGGGTGTAGGGTATAGGGGTTTTTAGGGTTTAGGGGTTTCGGTTTTTTTCGCCACCCGCCTAGTTGACTCAGAGAGACAGGGAACAATGCTCGTTACTGCTTTGTAACATGTTGTGATCAACAATCCCTCTTCCTGACACTGTCTGCTTTGTTCCAGTTTCCCCCTACCCTCAGTCTGTATTTAGGAGTTTAGGGTTTAGGAGTTTAGGGTTTAGGGTTTAGAGTTCAGGGTTTAGGCTCTTCTCATTCTACTCACCCAAGAGAGCATCAAATTGTTGTCCGATGTTGTCCGACTCGGTAACTTACATAAGCTGCAGTGGGGCATTGGCACATCACAAGCCCTAAACCCTAAACCCTAAACCGAGCACACAGCGGCTTCATGAACCGCCACAGCTCCTGAACGTCCCTGCTGTCGCCACCGTAGTCTGCATCGCCCCAGGCAACCACGGATCCCCCCTCCAGGACGACAGCAAAGGCTCGCTCCGTAGCCTTGAGTTGGGTGGCCTTCTCTGACAGCTCCTCAAGTTGTCTGGGAAGAAGGGAGACAAGAAGCTTTGTAGACAAAACCAAAAAAAGGCTGAAGAAGCCCGGAAGAACGATAAATAGTTTTCCTTATTACCGGCATTCTTTTGGGGTTCTTGAGCGAATAATAGTAAACCCTACCTATGCGGGTCGGAGTTGGGAGATGGCCACTTCTGGCAAGGAGCCTTTGAGAAGATGAAGCCCAGATCGTCGCGACCCCAACCTGTTCTCTTCAGGGTTTAGGGTCTAGGTTTAGGGTTTAGGGTTTAAGGTTTAGGGTTTAGGGTTTAGGGCCATCCTCTACAAAATGTTTGGGCTCTGGGGCCACAAGGGCCTGGAAAAAGACTTCAACTCCCTCCAGGTCGGAAACCCTAAACCCTGTGACTATAACCAAGGTCCACATCAAGAGAATCAACGACACCCCCCCCGAAAAGGGCAAGGTAGACTTGGTAGCCCAGTAACCATGTTATTGTAAGGGTGCCCCTTTTTGGGTTGGTTACTTTATGAAGGGACCCTGAATCTTTCTTCCCTTTGCAACTAACCCCTATATGACCCGCAAAAATACCTTCTTTCAAGTATCGTTCCTATATACCTGAGTAGGCCTAATGTAGCCCCTAAGCCCCTTACAAGGGAACCCCAAAAGCCGAAATTAGAGCAAGCCCCGAGTTATACAGGGGGCCTTCCGTTCAGAAACCCCCGGGAAAGTGATGCATGATTCGCCACCGAAGAACTTAATTAACTGACCTCGAGCTTTGAAAAGCTTTGCTCGTTGCTACTCGCAACATTGTTCTCGAAAGCCCCGTGGGGCTGAGAGTGACTTGGCTAAAATACAGGGGGCCTGAATAATTACAATAGAGGTTTCAATAGTATAGTTATAAAGGGCTCACACGGGATAATAGTATAATTATAAAGGGATCATAAGGGACGATAATATCATAATAAAGGGATCATAAGGGAAGACGATGAGTAATTCTTCTGACCCCTAGAGCCTACGGCCCAAAATCCAAGGAAAAAAAGGTTGAAACTTTCAGAATATACTACCTTATAAGAAGCCCAAAAGTTGAAAAGTTGGGTTTTGAGCCAGTAAGAGAGTAGGCCGAGGGGCTAAAGACTGTACCATCCCTGAGTCGCGCAGCCACGGCTTGAGTGGTGGCCTCGAGATCCTGCCAGGTTTCAGAGGTTGGCAGGGTTTAGGGTTTAGGGTTCAGGGTTCAGGGTTTAGGGTTCAGGGCTTAGGGCCGTGTGGTTTAGGAGTTGGGTTTCGACTCTCGCAACTCGTGCAAGCAGGCGCTGTGAGTCTTTGGATAAAACGCCTTAAATCCTCAATCCTCAACACTGTACATCCGAAACGCTGAATGCAGAGCACATGAACGGAGGAGCAGTACTACTGACCGCACGACTCTATCCGACAATGCCAGTGTGGAGGACTATGTATGTGAAATTCTTCAATGAGGAGAGTAAAGATTGAATGAAGTGCCAGATTCCACCGAGGAAATCCTCATGAAATTGTCGCACCTGCATGCCCTCGCTATGGTCAAGCCACGCCACTCGATGCTGACACAGTTCTGGCCCACTGCACTTGTGGGTCAAGTGAGTGTATCTCTCCAACTATCTCAGGTGACATGAGCATGCATGGCATGGCCCTTCATCTGGTGAACTTGCACAAGGTGCTTCACACCAGCATCCTTCTAACTGATCTTGTCCGCTGCTTTGACGCAGGCTTGAGCGAATATGTCAGCACCATGCACGTCAGCTGTGATATCCGTGAAGACCTGAGAAACGTGTCCACGAAACTAACACCAGAAGGAAGTCCCAGCTGCCCTTCCCTGAACCCCGACCACTGCCAACTCCTGTAGGTCACTGAGTCGATGCCGAAAGCCGAGCGCCTCCAGCTCCTCGCACATGTAGGAGCCTTCGATCCATGAGACATGAGTGCCAGAAGGATGGTGGAGGGTTTTTGGGGTTTAGAGATTAAGGGGGGAGGGAGCATTAGCTGTTCCCACAAAGGCTGTGAAGTTGATGAGTTGAAGGGTTTGGGTCAAGGGGTGCGGGTTTATGAAGACTTCTGTAGCCCAGTAAGCAGATACCACTCTGAACTGAACGGGTCCGATCTCGAACCCTGCTTTTTGGAATCTTTACGGTATTGAAAATGCCACTAATTCGGCACACTTTCGGATGCTTCCGTTTATTTGCTCTTGCGTTCTTCTTTTGTTCGCTTTCCGTGGGGTTGCGTGGGTGGGTGGGTGGGTTGTAGCATTGTATTATTAACCGGGCAAAGACCTGTGCACATCCGCTATCGTCCTGCGCTTGCGTCCCAGTGCCTTCCATGCAAGAACGTCTAAGTTGCGCACAGTCTTCCCTCACCCCCACGGATTTTGGTGTTCTTTAGGTGGTCGGGAGGTGTGCCACACGAAGTACTCTTACGACGGCCGGTGCTCCTGTCTTTTTCGAGAGGACTCCTCAAGACCCCGAAACATGCATCTGGTATAGGCTGGCAAACTTGTTGTTATCGACCCGCCAGCACACTAATCCCTCCCCCCCCAACAGCAAAAAGGATGCCACAGCACAGGCTCAGCAACCCCAGAGAATTGTCGAGCCGTCAGCCAACTTTGCTGCGAAGGCCCCTGCTGTCGCCCAGAGCTCCTAAAAGTCACTTTACAGTAGGGTTGTTAGGGTTCATCTTATGTCTGATATGACGCTGCTCCGGCAAGAATGAAGTCGGACCGACATGGAAGAGCTGTGGCGGACCCGAAACCCTAAACCCTAAACCCTTCCTTCCTTGATGGGCCCTCAAAACTCTGGAGGGCAAAGAGCCCAGGATCTACACCACCAACTGCTGAGCATTTCCCCCCTTGAGCGTGATGGAGGTTTAGGGTTTCGGCTCTCGCACTCGGCAAGAATTCGGTCGGAAGGTCACTTACTACGACAGTCGTCGAGATTCCCATCCCACAGTGAATCACGAAGAAGCGTCAAGATAAGCGTTTTGGGTTTAGGGTTGCAAGGTTGACCTGTGGCCAACGGGCGCAGAGTCGGTCCTCCACGTCTTGCATGTCGGGCTGGAGGCACGGCCCCTCAGGATCCCGTACCAAGGCTGGGGGGTGAGATAGGTCTTTGGGTCATGTCAACCCGAGCTTTTGCACCCCTCCTCTGTCCACTGGGGGGAGCCCCATGTCAGCACGGTGCCATCAGCTCGTAGAGCTGCGAATGCCTCCGCTGCACCTGAAGAGGAATTTACGGCATCCGCCCCCCCCCCCCCCCCCCCCCCCCAACAAAAAAAACGCAAGCTCGGTGGTCCGACTTTCTGGGGCTCTAGAGGGCTCTCAGGGGCTCAAGAGGGTGCCAAGGGCTTCTTTCTCTTTGCCACATGGTCCGTTCATTCTTTTGTTTGTCTTGTTGCGGGGCTCGAAAATATTGGACGCTTTGACCGTGAACCTTCAACCCTCAACCACATCTCGAGGGGGGTGAGCGCAGCGTTGGTCCCTCAACTCCACAGCCAGGCTCATGGAGGGCAGCTATGGACGGCTTGAAGACTCTGGGACAGCAACAAGGTTTCTTCTGCCCATGGCGCCAATCCCAAAGACGGCAGGTTATCGAGCTCGGGTTTGGGGAGCGGTTTGGGCCAGCACAAAAACAAGGCCCCCGAGGTCTCGAATCCAAAATTTTAAGCATCAGACACATGGCAGGTGTGAGTTGGGATGCTCCCCCTTATACTACCTTACTACCAGTCCTCAGTAGGGATTCTACTAGGGGGTACTACAATCCCTAAGGAGTACAAGGGAGAACATCCCAGGGAGAACATCCCAAGGCGTGTGGTTGGCGGCTCATGGTCTCTTGCAGACGCGGTGCCCTCCACCTTGTCCACGTTGCTCAAGCCCTCCGGTGCACAGTGCTGCTCTCCGCCCAGATAGCCCCAGGTCAGAACAGTTCCTGGGTTTTTCAACTCTGAGTGTGGAAAAACATAGGAAGTCTGGGTCTTTTGGGGAGGAGGTGGAGGAGGAAGACCTGTCCAAGCACAATGTGAATTTATGCATGTATGTACATTCTGCATGAATGTGCATGCTGAAGTATACATATAAGCTAAACAGTCCAGAAGTACATGTCAATGTCGAAACTTCGATATCTTGTCTATCATCCTTTATCCATCTGAAACCAAAATCAGGCTATGTATGTATACACACCTGGCATGTCTCCACAGAATGTCTCTAAACGTTTTGCTGCTGCATGGACTGGACTGGGGGTGGGGCCAGCCTAAATCCATAGTTGCCCGTGTCAGTTGACATGCGACGACTTGGATTTCACCCATCTGCCATAAACAAATGAACCTCAAGGAGACCAAAGGGAGACGCTCCAAAACCCGAATCTCCGCGCCCCAAGTTAGCAGCACGAAAAGTTTTGGGCCTCTGCTGCGGCAAAGGCTCCGTCCACCCGGACCAGCGCGAATGCATGGGAACTCGAGTACAGTGCAGCCTGCTCGGAGGTTGGCTGCAGGCTTCATGTTGCCCCTTCAGGCCGCACGACAGGCGACATACGCCCCTAAGCCCCCCTCACGTAAAACCAGATCTTAGCACTGGGGCATGGCTGTGACTGTTGTAGCTCGGAGTTCTATGCGGGGAAGGAAAGGCTCAAGCAACCTGCGGAAGGGCACGTCTGCGCATTCAATTTGAGAAGCTGCCCTCGCCTTCTGTGTTTACCATGCTGGGCAGGGTTGATGAATGGCTCACGAGAAGAACGAGCCGACCTTCCTTTCTATTCTTGCGACCCCATGTGCCAGCCGTTCATAAAGTGATGGAGACCTTGTTGGGTGGTGACCCCTCCTTTGATGCGGCTCTTATTGGGAGACCACCAGCTGCCGGAATTTGGAGTCCCCAAGTTCGGGAAAAGTACCTCCCCTCACAGGCCTTGCGTGCGACGGCCGTCAGCGTTTCGCCCTCCTGGTCGGGGGCTGTCTCCGGATGCCGGTTCTACCGTCAGAGATGCTCCCTGGCCCCGGGCACTATGGGCATCAACCGAGCGATCTGTCGAGGAGGGGTTCGGGCTGCAAGGTCTGAGCGGAGTGTGCATACAGACTTAAACCGAAGTCGACGTCCTGAATGCCTGCAGCGGCAATCGTCTTGCAACATCGCAGCTTGGAGCCTGTGCTGCAAGCTCAAGTCCGAAGACATCGAAAGGCCCAGACAACCTTCTGGGTTGCAGGCGCTAACCCTAAACCCTAAACCCTAGCAGGCTCCCGAGATTTACAGGATCCCGCCCACGCAGCCCACGCGAAGACGGCCGAGCAGCCATTTGAGCGAACCAGCCACCGGATACCTGTGCCTCAATGTGCACTTAAGCCACTTCTGGCCATTCAAGATGCACATTTTGGCATGCTGCCCCAGGTGACATGCTGCATGTGGGCTGTCGTCTTTCTCACGTGTGCAGCCCAGCATCTAAGCTGACCCTGGGCAACCTCAATGAGATCCTGAGTAGATGCTTCTGCAACCCAAGCCATCCCCATGGAAGCTTTGTTTTGCCTTAACACACACCTTCCAGTCCTGCACGGTGGCGTCGGCTGCCACTTCCACTCTTACCTCTGCCCCGCTCAGAAGCGCAACCGCCAGCCGCATGCCACACCGACGCAGGGCTTTCGCAAAGTCAGAGGTTCAGGGTTTAGGGTTTAGGGTTTAGGGTTTAGGGTTTAGGGTTTAGGAGTTCAGAGGGCTAAAGCGGCTAAAGGTGGCAGCTCGTTGGGAGCGTGACCCATCCTGCAGAAAACCCTCAGCTTGATTCCCAAATCCTACCATCCCTGAAGCAGGTAGGGTTTGGGTTTGGGAACCAATCTTGAAGCCCTAAACCCTAAACCCTAAACCCTAAACCCTAAACCCTAAACCCTAAACCCCCCGAGAAGAGGCTTGAGGAGTGGCAGCCAGCAGCAAGTCTACAGGTCCACAGCCGCCTTGAGCAGAAGGAGGGCTGCATGTGCTCCGAGATCACAGAAAGCCCCTCTAAACCCTCTCTCTCTCTCTATATATATATATAATTAATTTTAATTAACATATATATATGTGTGTGTATTATATATATATATATACAGAGCCACACGATCTTAACACGCCCTAAGAACCGCATTCTGAGGATCACGCGGTCCATGGTTCGTTCCATGCTCCTGCAAGGGGGCTACAAGCCTGAAACTTCCGGATTAAGAGGCCAAGGCCATGTCAGTCAACCTAAACCCTAAACCCTAAACCCTAAACCCTAAACCCTAAACCCTAAACCCTAAAAGTGCATGGCAGGCCTGTGATGTGCCTAAAGGGCCTGGAGCTGATGGACCACCCAGGGACCAGAGGCTCCATGCTCAGGTTAAGGACCAACCAGGCTGGCGACCTACAATTAAGAGACAGTCAGGGGTTTAGGGGTGATATATAGAGAGAGAGTAGGATTCTAAGTAACCAAAAAGGTTAGGAGGGTACCTACCTGATTAGTCCCGAAGGAACTTAGAACAGAAATTAGTCCCTAAGGAACTTAGAACAGAAAGCACATGTTTAAGGGATAAAAGGAGGGACCCCTAGAAGGGGCCCTTAATCTTCTTCCCCTATATAACCCATCTATAACCCTACATATGCCTGGTCTAATCCCTATGTACCTAAATAATCCCTAAATTGCCCCTAAGCTCCCTGATAAGGGTCTCTCCTTTAGTCCCTTGACATGTGCAAGCGCTGGCTCCTGTTGTGCAGCGCCCTTTCGAGATCCAGGAGCTCCTCCCCCCGAAAACACGAAGCAAGCGAGTGGAGCATGCAAGGCCAAGGTTGAAAAGCTCGTGCTCGTGTGTGTGTGTGTGTGTGTGTGTGTGTGCCCTAAACTCAGTCCTACGTAGTTTGTCTCCAAGGAGCTTCTTCGAGACAGTCCGCAAGACCGCATGCATGAAACCCTAAACCCTAAACCCTAAACCGTTACGGATTACTCGCTTTTCTGGCTTGGGGGGGGGGGGACGGGGGGAGGGGCGAATCTCCTTCGTGGCACCCCTTTGTTCCGACCCTTTGGTCACGACCCTCCTTCAACCCGGGAGTTGCTGGAGGTTGCTGATCGTTGCTTTTTCCCCACACGGTTTCGGGTTTAGGGGATTTAGGGTTTCGGGTTTAGGGTCTGGGGTTTGGGGTTTAGGGTCTTAGGGCTGATGCCTTGCAGAAGTTTCTATTTCCAAGAGTGGCTCCTTGTGATGCTTGACCATCTCATCCGTGTTCTTGCGAGCTGTGTCCTGACATTGGGGAAATCATCCCGATGACCGGGGCTGCCAACCCTAAACCCTGAACCCTAAACCCTCACCCTGAACCCTAAACCCTGAACTCTGAACCCTAAACCCTGAACCCTAAACTCTGAACCCTGAACCCTAAACCCTGAATCTTGAAAGCACGGAGGGCCCAAAATACCGCTTCCCTTGGGTAGTCTACCCCGGGCCTCTCATATGAAAGGGAGAGCCTGGAAAACCCTCGTTTGTACTACAGCCAGCTACATCAAATCCTAATCCTAAAGTCCTAAACCCCCACTTTCCTATATGTATATGTCTATATATACATATATATATATATATATATTCACATGTTGAACACAGTTTGTGGTCAATCGGCACCGTGTTGAACCCATTCGTGGTCACTCGGACCAGTGCTGAACCAATCTGTGGTCAATCGGCACCCGTGTTTGGCAAATTCCGGTCAATGGCCACCCTTGGCGAGCCTGCGTGAAGAAGCAAAAAGGCCATTTTGTTGTGGACGTTTCTTTGTCCAGTTAATATTAAGAGGAAGAAGCGCCATTTTGTTACGGACATTTCTGTGTCCATCGAGTCTATCTCAAGAAGAAAAAGCGCCATATTGTTACGGACATTTCTGTGTCCATCGAGCCCATGCCCAGAAGAAAAAGCGTCATTTTGTTACGGGCATTCGGCAAATTCCGGTCAACCAGCAATGTATGTTTAGGGCTTTGGGTTCAGGGCCTAAGGTCTAGGGGTTGAGGAGTTTAAGGGCTTCCTGGGCCTTAGGCCGCTTGAGGATAGGCAGAATTTGAGCTGGCTTGAGGGAATTATATGCAATGTAAAAGAATAATGTGAAACTTCAGATTTTGTTAGCGTTATGGGATTCTTTTGGTTGGACTTGAGATGCTGAACCCTCAACCCTAAACCCTAAACCCTAAACCCTAAACCCAAATAGAGGCGCCTCGAAGTCTTTCAGTCGGGCTTCCTTCCTTAGCAGGCAAGGACGCCAGATGCGTTGAGTGCGTCAAACCAAGCTAAGCCCTGAAGAATAATAGGCGTTCAGGGTTAGGGTTTAGGGTTTTGTCTCGAGGGTTTAGGGTTTAGGACTTGAAACACATTCCGGGCTTCCAGCTTCAGGACGATGGGGAGAGCTTGTGCTAGCTTAGGCTTCAGAAGGCCCTGGAAGCCCAACCCCCAACAGTCTTCAGGGCTACAGCCCACCGCCCTCCCTCCTCGACCGAGGCACTCTGCGTAGAGGGCGTCTGCTTGGTCTTTCGAGGTTTGCAGCTCCTGCATGATCCAGTAAGTTCTGAGATCCACGCCGTAAGAAGGGCTCAACAGCCTAGGCAATTAGGACCCCTATTGCAATTATAGTGATCAGCGTAACGTACTTATAACAGTCATTCTATTTCTGAAGGGGTCTGTCTCTGTATAGGGGTCAAACCATGTCTGAGGCGTTTCTTTAGTTTAGGGGCTTCCTTTTTGCGGCGCTTCGGGTTTAAAGCGAAACCATCTAACCACCGGTTTCACAACCAAAGCCAAAGCTCAACTCCTCCGTTCTCCCCTCAAACTGAGAGGTCTCTCGGCCTGCTCCATACATGCCAGATGGCGCTGCGCTGCATCAATTGCCTGCGAGTGCTGAACCCACAACGTTACTGCACACCAGAAACTTGGATCACGACGACCGCAGCTAGAAACGTGCCTTCTATTTACCTGGCAAACCCCGTGTGTGCCAACTGCTCGCCCCTGCCGCGCGCGCGCGTTGCAGCCCCAGCACGCCCAAATCGCACAAGTTCTTGCCCCGAAATCTTCAAGCTTTATCTCTTTGGGACCGAATAGGGCCCTTCAAGCGTTCCGAAATGTGGTTCCAGGTGCTGGCGCGGATCAGCTTGGAGCAGTTGCACATACATGTGAGCTTGTTTGGCTGGGTGGCAACAAATCAGCCTCCAGACTTGCAGGATTTCGATTCTTGCAACTGGCCTCCGCCTTCTCCAGCCCATTTGCGTACCTCAGGGGTAACATTCAAGGTTTCTGCCTAAGCCTGACGAAGCCGCGACCCATTTTTCATGAAGTCGGCCTCATACTGTGGCCGCCGCTCTGCCCTAAAGGATCCGTCCCGAACATGTTTGGGCACAAACCATCTTGCAAGGCAAAATCGTTGAGAAAAAATTGTGGGAACATGCTCAATAGCACAAGCAACGCACCGAGGGTAAAACCAATGTGAGTAAGCACCGCCGCTTTGTGATGCCACTCCAGTGCAGCACCCCTGTGAATTGTGGAGTGGTGACCTTCCCTGAAAGATGGGGCCTTGCGGAATCTCTGCTAACTCGATGGCTGCCAGGGCGTGCTGTACGAAATCTTATGACGCCACGGAGCGGCAACTGAGGGCCTCTCAACGCGTTTTCTGTACCCATTCTGTCTTTGTCGCCGACGGGCAGCAACTGTGGTGTTTGGAGCTGGACTCGGGATTGGTAACTGTTGGGGCACGTATCGGCTACCGTGTCCTGGGTCTAGAATGGTTCCGAGTCTTCAGCGCTGTAGGTCTTGTAAGCACAACAGCTTCTTTACATATTGCCGGGCTTCTGAAGCAGTGCATTCGATCGCTGGAAACGATGCCTTGTGATGACTCGGTGGCATGTATGTGCACCATCTAACGGCCTAAGCATCTCCAAAACCAGACCCGAAACCGTAATCTTAGGAGTTTACTTAGGGTTTAGGGCTTAAACCCCAAACCCCAAACCCCAAAGCCCAGACCCCAAACCCTAAACCCCAAACCCTAAACCCTAAAGCCTAAACCCTAAACCATACCCTGAACTCCCCCCCCCCAAAAAGACCAGTCTCTGGCTCTGGGTTCTGGACAGCGCTTCTTCCATCAGCCGCTGGCGCTCCAAAAGGTGGGCATCCCTGGAGGGTAGAGGGTTTAGGGTTTGGGGTTTAGGGTTTGGGGTTTAGGGTTTGGGGTTTAGGGTTTGGGCTTTAGGGTTTGGGGTTTAGGGTTTAGGGTTTGGGGTTTGGGGTTTAGGGTTTAGGGTTTGGGGGTTAGGGTTTCCCCCTAATGGTGTCCGTTTGTTGGGGGTACCAGAAATAGTTTGGGTGTGTGTGTGTGTGTGTGTGTGTGTGAGTGTGTTTGTGTGTGTGTGTGGGGTACTATTCTAGGGGCCTGCGTGTGGAGAGCAGGCGTGCGTGTCTCCGACCAGCAGAGGCTAGAGCTGACATCGTCCAAACCTCTTTGGGCCAGTTGTGGCTCACTGACCAAACAGCCGTGTACATCCGATCATCCAGTAGTGCGTCTCAGCCTTTAAGCAAGCTAGGCCTCAACACCTAGTGATCCCAAGGATTCGTTTGAGGTCATTCAAGAAAATTGAGTTATATAACAATCAAGCACCACAAGTGCACCCACAAGTCCACTGCAGGAAGACTCTTCAGAGCACCTAAAGCCCAAATTCCTCAAAATCAGGACACCTCACACTGACATTCTATACCGCCGGCGCCCCATCTTTACTTTTCAGACCCAGATTTTGGAAGCTTTTGTCACCCGGAGTGTTTCCGGTTGAGGAATTCCCTTTGGTTTCCCAAGCTCACCCTGAACCCTAAACCATTTTTGGGCCACGGACTTTGGAGGCTGCGGGCAAACATGCATTTCTCAGAAGTCACATCACGCAATCTGACGCAAATAAACCCTAAACCCTAAACCCTAAACCCTAAACCCTAAAGCTCTGAAGCCAGTGTGAGAGGTGCGAGATGGTCGGAGGCCTCATGTTGGCCTCCGAGCGCATCTTCGCCTCCAGCTCACGCCTCGCATCTTGGGGGTTTAGGGTTTAACCCCAAGAGCCCAATACCTTGGGATGTTCCCCTTCTCATAACGGTCCTTAATCGGGAACTATCGTACCCCTTATTATAATCCCTATGAAGGACTGCTAGTAGAAGTGGGAACATCCCAACCAATACCCCTTAACTAAGGACCATTCCTTGAACCTTAACCAAGATTAAGGATCCCCATATTCATTTAAGGTCATATTCCTTAGTCAAGGGGTATTGGGCTCTTTGGGAAGGTTTAGGGATTGAAGGCTGGGCTTGGGGTGTGTTGGGGTTCAGGGTGTGGGTTGAAGGGATACATGGCTCGAAATTCGGGCTTGCTCTTGGGTCGAGCTCTGAATTAGGGACAACCTTCAGGGAGGGAGTTCACAGTACTATATACTAGGCCTGTATATTGGGGTATATAAGGTCACTAGGTTTGGCACTCAAAGCGTACAGGAACGTGTCCAAAACCCTCAACTGTGTGTGCAGACTTCCTTGCGCTTGAACTGACGGATATGCGCCTGCACCTCGCTACAGACATCATGGGCCCTCAAGGTTGCTCTTGTAGGCTGCCGAAGCTTTGCACCGAACCAAACACCGAAAGCATCTGAAAAGCCCTAAACCCGAAAACCCGCAACTGTCAGGGCCCGTGGCGTCCGTGTCTCCGCAGCAGCCCGGACCTCTGTGATTCGGCGTTCCTGGCTGAGAGAAGCTGGGAAATTCGTTGAACAAAAAACCTCTTGTGTGGCCACCCACCTAGCCAATCAGGCTTATCATGGAGGGTCAAAAATACGCTTCTACTTGGCCTTGGTACAAAAATGTGAGAAATTAGGCTCAGCTTATCTCTATGAATATCTTCGGGACCTTCTCTTGCTCCTTTCCTGCTTCGTGGTCCTCCTTTAGAGGAACTGGGGGTTCCCAGGTTCGACACAGCTCCTGCTGTCGGTCTTCGCCCGCGCATGCGCAGACAACGGGGGTTTGCGAAATTCTAGGCACCCTGTTTCAGGTTTTGTTTTACGAAGGAATACATTCTTGGGAGACTTAGGGATTCCCCTGTTTGGGGAAATGCCCATTTGATTGTTGCGCTTCACTTGTGGTTGGCACCTGCCTAGAAGGAAAAGCTTGCCGCTTGGGGGCTCTTCAGGAATCCAATCGGATTTTGGACGCCCTGTTTGCAAAGCCTTGGATTCGGCATCACCCATCGCCCGAAAGACTTCACTATAACTCCGTAAACCCGCGGCCTCTCACATTGCATAGAGGACGGGTGGGGGGAGGAGAACCGTTCTAAACGCAAAGCCCAATATTCACCAAACAATTGCCTCCCGTGCTCTCGCAGCCACGACATCTTCGTGAGCACGCTTCCTGGCAAAGCCCTACATACCACCTCTGCTCTGAGTTGTATTGCTTGGTGGTCTCTTTAAGTAGGGTTTTTGTTTTGTAGGGGGTTCTCATTAGGGTATCTAGGGGCTATATTAAGGCATAAGGGTAACAGATAAAGAGGCCACCGGCCATTATAAGCTCTGAGGGTTCTTGGTATATTTCTGCCCCGATGCCGACAAACTACAGGCACAAAGCCGTATAGGATGGTGGGCAGATGGAGAGGCAACACTATCGCTGTTCACTCTCTATTCGCAGCCACCTGAAAAACATTGAGCCCAAAGAACACCGCAACCCCCACCCAAACCGACCTTCTGCAAATGTAGACATCAACCGACCTGCTGCAAATGTAGGCATCCGTTAGTATAAGTTATGATGTTCTAGCCCTATTGTACCATGATACGACTTATGCTAGTACTTTATTGTTCACTCATACCATTCTCGTAGTATATTATTCTGCTAGACTATTTCTACCATGAAAATATTACATCGTTGTGTTTTACTTGTTATACCAATCGAGTACTATCTTAGTTGTCCAGTAACCTGGATGAATTGAAGGTCGACCTTTGGGACTATAAGGGGATTATACTACCCCAAAAGGGTTAAAGGTTACCTACTCTACTACTAAGTTATAATATCGCAGTATTCCTATATTTCCTCGGAAGCAAGCCAAGAGCTTGGGATCCGAGCTGGACGAGATCCACGAGCTCGTGAGCCTCCCTGGGGCTTCAGCGGATGTGCATGGCTTCGATGGCGCTTCGAGTTGATGTAGGGTTTAGGGTTTAGGGTATAGGGCTTCATCTTGAGACCAAGAGAAGGAGCAGGGCTATCGAAGCACTTCTCGCGCTGAAGGCCTCGCACTAGCCTCATGTTCCAAGGCAAGACTCAACAGTCAGGGAGGATACTTTGGTTTTGGAGATTCGTGGTTGAGGGGGTGATGGAAAAACTCAAGTGAAACACAATGGAAACCACAATCAAAGCCTCAGAAGTCCATCTGTTTCAATTGCCTCTCCGTGGGGGTTTCCAGCAGTTCAATCCCACATTCTAGATCGGGCCTTGGCCTGCTGAATTTGTCGCCAAGAAGACTACTGCCCTCGATGCAATCCTGAACTTCAAGAAGACATCGGGAGCTCCTAAACAGGAGTGGGTCAGTTCAGGTCGAAGTAACGAGGAGCCGATTTTGACAAGAGCTTGGCAACCTTATGGGAACTCAAAAGTAGGGTTCTAAGTGCCCTAGATGTGTTGTTGGCATACTTCTAACAACTTCTAAGCCTATCTTCAACATATGAACCTCCCAGTGGACATGTCTAGAAGATGCTTCTGGAGTTTTATTGTCCAGAGGCCAGCCCCGCTGGCCTCACTCGCTCCTGTTCCGCGGCGAGCTCTACTCGATGCCGCTTTTCGGCTTCCTGCTTGGGACAGTTTGGGGCCGGTTTAGGGTTTAGGGTTTAGGGTCTTGCGGCTGAAAAAGGAGGGTTAGGAAGGGTGTTTTGTTTTGCCACCGGTCTAGCATTGCTCCATGGGATTCGTGCGGAGAAAGCCAAAGGATGAGATGTCAGACTCCGCCCAAATTGAGTAGCCCAAAGTCAGAAAATCACTCAGAGCAGTCTCAGAAAGTACTGGCAGCACTCACGAGTAAGCGAAACCCACGTTCGTAAGGGTTTAGGGTTCTTAGGGGATTTCTCTGCAACCCTGAGCCCTGTGCTTAAACCCCCTGCATCCCATTTGCGATTCCTTGCCATGAGGCTTTGCTACTACTCGTGGTATGTGCAAGCCCAGTGTGGAAACTTTCATCCGGTACCTCCTTTCGGGCCTCCGGTTTGAGTACATCTGCATGCCTGCTGTGCTGGCCTCCAATTCCACTGCAGCCTCTCTTCGCACCTGCCGCAGACAATGGCTTCGGGTGTGCTTAGGTCACCTGTGATCTACAGCCTCTACACCATGGTCTTCCTCCTGGACTCCTTGCCCTAAACCCAAAGGTCTGATCAAGCCTCAAGCTCTTCAACCCTAACACCCCAAATCCCCTTCCGCACCCAGGACTCTGCTGGCCCTACGCCTCGAAACTGTACTTAAAGCCGAGACCTGCTGTGTGAGGCCTCACACCAAAAGCTGACTTTCGTGCGGCCAGGCGCTTGTCGCACGTTGCAATGTCGTGACATCTTGCACTCCGAACAATGTAGGCGCAAAAGCCGATGCCCTCAACCCTAAACCCTAATTAAACCCTAAACCCTAAACCCTAAACCCTAAACCCTAAACCCTAAACCCTAAACCCTAAACCCTAAACCCTAAGTTCATCCTGGCCTGGGCTACTTGCTCCGTCTGCCTCTGCCGCTCCAGGAGCTGCGCAGTCCGCTCCTCGCTTTTTTGGGGGGACTTCGCGGCTTTGGCTGTGAAAAAAATCAGGCCGGGTAGGGTTTAGGGTTTCGGGTTTAGGGTTTCGGGTTAGGGTTTAGGGTTTAGGGTTTAGGGTGTAGGGTTAGGGTGTGGGGTTTAGGGTTTAGGGTGTAGGGTTTAGGGTTCAGGGATAGAAAGATGGACAGATAGGTCGGTAGATAGGGGGAGCTTGCATGCTTATCGTACTCTATAGCGATCGACTGAGCGACTCGATAAGTATACGGGAAGGCAGAGCAGTCAGATAGCTGGATCGTGGATAAACGCATTTTTGGGTAAATGTTCCTGCTTTTGGGTCCGGGAATTATGTGGCGTTCCTGCAGAAAGACCCATTTTTGTTGCACAAAGTTACGGGGCCATGATGGGGCAGGTCAAGACAAAATCGCACCCCTCTGGCCTCGTCCAGCATCGACTGAAGTCGTCGGATCTTCTCCTGCCAAGTACTCTTCGCCCCTGAACCCTAAACCCTAAACCCTGAACCCCAAACCCCAAGCCCTAAACCCTAAGTGGCCGCGATGTGGCGGAAAATTGCGGCGAACTCATGTGAAACACATGCTGTGCTTTGTTTAAGCACCGTTGACCAGGAGCTCTACAAGTGCCTCTGGGCTGCACTGAAAAAATAACTCATAGTATTCAGTTTTCCTTTATGGTCTCTTTCTAAGTATACTATACAAACCCTCCCAAACCCGATTTTAACTATTCAGGCCCCTATATTACGATAAAACACATGGCTTCTCAGATCCCACTCTGCAGCTGCATGTTACGATTGCTGTGATGTACCGCAAACCGCGGCTGCCGCTGCTTGAACTTGACACCACCCCTCTGTGCACGGGCTGTAAGCACTCCGCAGGGTGATGCTTCCCAAGCACCCGTTATTCTGTGCTGGGCCTTCATCCTACGCAAAAGCAGCTCATAAAGTCAAACTGTTGCCATCTAGACTCTAGTGCATCTCTCCGGCTTGAGCTGCAAGCACATCTCTACTATCTATAGCTTTGGAGACCTCATCCCCACTTGTGAATTCCCCACACACTTGTGTCATCTCACGAAGATATGGGGAAACCTTAAACCCAGCAAAACATCCGGTCCTCCATTTCTTGGAGCTTCTTGGCTGTTGCCCAGTGGTAGTCTTGAACCTCTGGCCAAGCTCTGCTCCGGCTTCTCAGTGGCTTCACACGATGCTCTTTGATACTCCCACAATCCCTGCCAGAAAGGACACGTCTCGACTTTGACGCCGACTGCCATGCCCACTAACCCTAAACCCTAAACCCTGAACCCTAAACCCTAAACCCTAAAACCCTAAAACCCTGAACCCTAACCCTTAAAAACAATACATCCGTGCGTCCATGGCCTGGCGCCGGGCATGCTCCTCCGCCTCCTCCGCCTTGCGCCTCATGGGTGTATCGGCTTTTGGCCAGTTAAGGGCTTCGGCGGTGTCACCTCATTTGGGTTTAGGGTTCAGGGTTCAGGGTTTAGGGTTTAGGGTTTAGGGGTGATCAAAGAAAAGCTCAAACAATGCGACTTGGGAGCGGAGGGCGTATGGTGGGCTGTACTTGTGTTGCTAGGCTGCTAGATCTTTCCTTGCCAGTTGCGTCTCATCACCTGACGCCATTTCAGCCTGAAACCAACAAAGTCTGCAACCGAGACGCGAAAGACTCAACCCGAAACGGCCTAAGAAACAAGCCTAAGTCCTAGACCCAAAAAACCCCAAAACCCTAAACCCTCAACCACTTGGGGGGCTCATCGGTGCCTAGTCTTTGTGGGAAGAAGGGCCTGGGTCCAATGACCTGCGCCCTGTATCTACCTCCTGCTTTTGTAGAGTCTCGGGACCTTGAGACATGTTAGTTCTATGGGGATTACACAGAGATTCGGGTTCGTAGCGTTTCGGTCGCTATTCCGAATCAAGCCCAGAAATGCTGGCAGACACAACTGCCACGCTGTCTCTTTTGCTGTAGTGTACCAAGCTGCTTGGCCCCTGCTTTTGCAAAGGCGCAGAGCTCACATCTGACACGAAGAGGTGCCTAAAAGTGCAAACCAAACAGACCCCTTTGCAACTCGAACAATGTGTCAGTTTTTCGCCGCATGGTCCCTGTCATGCGATGAGTCTTTAGTCTCTCACATAGTAATCGTACAAGACTGCCCGGCACTGTGGTGTGATATAACACGCAAGCCCGTCCCATGGATTCCCTAACCCTAAACCCTAAACCCTGAACCCTGAACCCTGAACCCTAAACCCTAAACCCTAAACCCTAAGGGGGGGCTGGCTCTTCTCATCCTTCAGTCGAGTCCACTCTGCTTCGAGTGTTGCTTCTGGTCTTTTTGGCCTGCGATGTCGGTCTATAGACACTAGACATAACTAGCCTGAATTAGCGATGCGAGGGTCTCGCACGCCTGGGACATGTGCCTGTATACTAAATGAGCAACTTCATTGTAGCTTCATGCTCAGGGAAGCGCGCAGCACTTTTGGCTGAGCGCTCGCTTGTTGGAGCCTGATTTGTTCCCTTAGACTTGTCGGAACAGCCCCTGGAACAAATCGTTGGTCCAGTTAAACGCCGCGGAGCAAGAACCGCGGGCCGTGTTAATTAGTTGTGCTTCGCTTCGGGATCATTCAGTCATGACAGCCGCTGACACCAAGCATTCTCTGTACGATGCATCGCCGCACAAGGAAGAAGCAGGGCAGGGCTCTTCTACGAGCAGCATTCTCGACGCAATGTGAAGTAGATGTAAATCCAACTTTTGCTGCTGCCATTAGACCAGCCCCGTTTCCTTACAAGCCACTGGACACCACAACTGCTCATGGGCAGCACCAGAACAACCGCAAGTCTGAGGGCAGACCTGGGCTCCCAGTTCAGGGCTTAAGGCATAATATTGACAATATTAATAATATTAATACTATTCATACTATTCGTAATATTAATAATACTAATAATATTAATTATATGAATAATATTAGCAATACTAATAAAATAACTAAGAGGTTCGGAAATGGTAGCACGCCTGGCTTGTTTTCAGGTAGGGTCGACTCTTGGCTGCCAAAAAATGCCACAACCACATGCGACCCTGGTGGTCATGATCAGGAAGTTCTGGGAAACATCCTCGCACCTGTTTCAACGTGGGGGGGTATATGCCTGTGGGAAGTGCATCTCCTGTGGTGCAAACCCATAGGGACATAACAACTTTCCAAGTAGGACCTTCAGATTGTAACCCCTAAACCTAAACCCTAAAACCTAAACCTTAAACCCTAAAGCATAAGCAGCAGCACTCCTCACCACTGCCTAAACCCTAAACCCTAAACCCTAAACCCTAAACCCTAAACCCTAAACCCTAAACCCTAAACCCTAAACCCTAAACCCTAAACCCTAGACCTTAACCCCCCTCCCCCCCCCCCCAATTGCATCCGAGGGTGCCAGGGAGGCAGGCCGAGAGGTGCCAGGCTTCGGTTTCTGGGAGGCGCAAGGAGATTTTGGCTCAGGGCGTCCCGGCAGGGTTTGGGGTTTAGGGTTTAGGGTTTGGGGTTTAGGGTTTGGGTTTCGGGTTTGGGGTTTAGGGTTTGGGGTTTCGGGTTTGGGGTTTAGGGTTTGGGGTTTAGGGTTGGGGTTTAGGGTTTGGGGTTTAGGGCGGCTTTGGGTTTACGCAACTACCGACCCAGTGCAAGAGTTTCCTAGCAGCGACTGCCCCCCCAGAAAACTGCGCGGCAAAACGGGCCTGGCAGATCCGAGAAATCGGGCTGCAATAGAACATGAAGCCAAAGTGTGTGGGGTGACTTCAAGGCTTCGTGTGGCTGCAGTTGGCGCGGCGATCTCAAAAACCAAAAGGTTTTGGAGCATGCTTTATGAAGGTTCCCAGAGTAGGAGTGTCAAACCCAAGCAATCGCCTGTCCCCGCCTCCAACCCTAAAACGCGGGGAGGGGCGGCCACAGCCCTATGTGTGACAGGCAAGCTCTCTACACCCCGAGACACAAGGAAGAGCCTTCACAAAAGGGTCGAGAAGTCGGGCCTAGCAATCGCCTCAGGCTCCCGGCACTTATCACCCACCCCATGAAGGTACATTGGAGGAACAGCTCGGCTTCCTTTCCCCCAGCAGAGTCTGGTTCAAAGTTCGCATGGAACCCAAGGGGCACCCGAAAGCTGCTTGAAGCGTGAAAACTTGTCTGCCAGCAACCATAAGAAACACCATCCAACAACAGTCTACAATGAACCTCTGCCCCGGTTATCTTTTCGGAAGGGCGGTCAATTCATTCATGATACCTCGTTCGTACAAATGATTGTGTAAGGTGGCTTTTCGAAGATCGACGAATCGAAGACACATGGCGTAGTAGAAGCCTTGTCCAGAATATTCCCACTACAAATCTACTCAAAGCTGCCCCGATTCTTTTGATTTGGAGCCTCCCTGGAGGTTCATGAGTAGCTATAAGATATAAGTAAGGTTGTAGGTACCCAGTCAACCTACTTATAACCCTACTTCAAAGAACCCACTGCGTCAAGCTTCGCACACCGTGTCGCGGATCCAGCTTTCGGTGTCAAGGAAGGAGCAATTGCCTGCAGCTGCAAAACTTTTTACCGGGGAGTTTCAAAAAGTGCCCCTTTTGGGGGGGACCGTGGATAAGGAGTCTCAATACAGAAAATGGCGACTGACTATATGGGGACCTCATAGACGCCACATGTCATGTTGGTGAGGTAGGATCGTCTGTGCCCATCTTCTCTTCCATGCCACCACGCATCTGAAAAAGGAACTCCAAACTGTGATCCATGAAGCATACAGTAATTACGCCTTTTCTGAAGTCCCCAGCAGATCAATCCCCCTGCGACATATGATCCGGCGACTCATCGGATGCGCGCACCTGCTGCGCCGCTCAACGCGAACTTCATCATGGCGTTGTCCTCTTGCCACCTAAGCCGAACCGCGTGATGCTGAGGACTACCAACCTAAGCCGAGGTGTACTGGGGCCTAGTCTAAAGACACCGTAAACCCTAAACCCTAAACCCTAAACCCTAAACCCCTAAACCCTGAACCCTACATGCTCCTCAGGAGGGCTTGAGCGAGTGGAGGCTCGGTTCTCGGTAGCGCATGGTGGTTTAGGGTTTAGGGCTAAGGGTTTAGGGAGGTGATACGGCTTTCTTTGGTGGCGGTATGTGACCTGCATTCACCCTCCTGGAGCGGCGTCTGAGAGGCCACAAACTCTCCTGCGCGCCTGGAACAATGCAAATTCCACATGTTTTCCCCAGACTCAGTCTTGATCAACGTCAAGCTTTACTTGCTAAATCGTGAACCGTCTGAAGCCATTTCTGCAGCAGGCATTTTCAGTTCTTCACCTGGAAGTGATCCTTAACCTTGCAAGCGAAAAAAGACCGAGACACCCAACACACCCAAAGCCTAAAGAGTCTTGGCTCAAGGGACTATAGGGGTTATATAGGGGAATAAGATTAGGGTAAGCCCTAAACCCTAAACCCTAAACCCTCTTGAGCAAGGGACTTTGGGGGCTGCCGGCAAACATGCAACACCCTAAACCCTAAACCTAAACCTAAACCCTAAAGCCCTAACTGGGCTGCCACTGAAGTGACGTCCCGTGCGAGTGGTTGTAGAAACCTTGCCACCAACGCTTCCAGACCTGCTCCCGGCCATCTTCCTTGGCAAGCGTAATTTGTACGGTTTGGGGTTCAGGGTTTAGGGTTTAGGGGCCATGATAATTTGAACAGGGTTTTGGGGGTTGTTCTGGTATACATTGTATAGGGATTCTAGGGGAATACTCTTAGCAGTCATTTCCGACCCTATGCGAGCCGCCGGAAGAGGGGGGGATCTTGTTTACCTAGACCCGGCAGTTTGGGACCGGCATCAACTAGGTTAGGGTTTAGGGTTTAGGGTTTAGGGTTTTGAAGCTTTAGCCCTCAAACGCCCTCAGTCCCGAGCCTGCTCAACCAATGCCCGCACGAGAGACCTCCCCCCCCCCCCCCCAGAAGTGGGCTCAATGGTTATCACAGCGACATTCATCAGTAAGCTCCGAAGTCGCATCTCTACACTCTACATCTTCCCTCCCTAACTTCCAAAGCTTTTCGGCACCTGTGCGTATCATCCGGCTATGCGACAGAGCTGCCCCATTCTGCGCAAAGTCTTTGCATGAAGAGGCGTTGAGGCCGTTTAGGAAAGCCTTCTCCTGGCGCTGTGCTAAGCGAGGTTTCTCGACTGGGTCTTCGGCAAACCCTACAGCCAGGGGACCTGAACCGCCACTCAATGAGTACATACACGCTGGAGCACGGGAAAACCCTAAACCATAAACCCTAAACCCTAAACCGGCGGCGGCAGGATTTCTTTACATCAGCCCTCTCACTGGTGTGCCGATTGCCCTTCATGGGCCTTCTCAAGTCTCATTGGGGGCACCTGTGCAGATGTGCCC